TAGTTCAGCCCTGGGGGCCTAAAGCTTAGACGATCTAATTTTTGATCCAAATCCCACTTCTACCAAAGAAATATATGAGTGTCATTCAAAAATAAGTAGACAATGTTCCTCATCGTCATATTAATATTACAAGATTATAAATCAATACATTTTCATAAATAAAACCATTTATTTTCTCGCAGTGTGAAGTTTTATTATTCCATTTGATTAATAGAACTCATGTTAGCCAATTTTTAAAGCAGCATGTTTGTTACCCCGGAGCATGGTGAAACAACATTGTATCGTCAAAAACAAAGTCGAGAAAATTTCTCAAAATTACTCTGCTTTTAAATTTCATACACGGTTTGTAGCATCTTCTACATTTAAAAAACCTATTCATAACACTTAACACCTAGTTTGCTAACAGTGAAAACCGTTTGAACTGTTTGATTTAGAAACAGGACTTATTCGGAAATTTTATTAGTCGATCTTTAGAATATTCTTCTTAGCATTATTCATTATTTATACATAGAGAAATAGGACATGACATTGCTCTGATACTGTTTTATGTGTTTTATTACATGGAGCAGGACAGAATCATAACGTCATAATATGACATCATAATATGCACTGACTTATACGTCTTAATGCCCTTAATTAGCTCTCTGAAATAGATAAAGGTTTACCTACCATTAAAGGACATGTGTATTGGATAATTTCCTCTACAATGCTGGTATCTGAAGAATTGAAAGGTGAAGATAACAAACAGTATTAAAGAAATAAAGTAAGATATATTGAAAGGTTAACGAGTACTTTTTCACTGTTTCACAATGCATTTTTAAGACTTTATTTTTATTATCATATGTAATTGTTTATTTGTCTGGATTATGGTTTCATAAATAGTTCTGAATCATGTTAAATGAACAAGTTTAATCGTGTATTTTTTTATTCAAAGTTGCGCAAAAATGGAATTTTAAGAGAAAAATGTTTGTATAGATTAATTAGGATGGTTGAAGAAAGGGAGAAATTTGAACACCCTAGAAAGTTTACAATTCTTTAATATTTTGGAAATTTATTAGTTGCATCATTTGCAACAAAAAAAAAACCTAAATATATACTAATCCAGGCACCCATTTTTTTTTAAATCGATCATCTATGTAATAGTGGCTGTGAAGAATTCAATATGACAAAGGTTCGATAACAATATAGAATTTTAATTTGGTTGGATTATTTTTGTATTTTGTCCCTATGTATAACCGAAGGAGACTTTCTCGCGTTTATGTTTCATCAGTTTAGTTGAAAAGAATTTAAGAATACATGCAGATATGGCGTGAAATAGTCTAAGCAGAAGACGGAAATGACCTTTGTGAAATTATATCGCAGAAAAACAACCAAGGAGAGAACTGTTTTAGAGAAAAATGATCTGAAAACGTTCAGGCAACAACAACAGAAAGCTTTTTTTAGCGTATATTAAGCTTTTGATTTTTGTTTCATATGAATACGAAAACTGTCTTTTAATAATGGGGCGCAATTGGTACCCAAGGGGATTTGAACAGATTGTTTGAAGACCTGGTCTCCAAAACCACATAGAAATTATTATTTTACAAAAAATTAAACTTCTATCATTTAGCATTATTAAAAAACTACATTGAATCTGAAGTACATTTTTTTTAAATTAAGATTATAAATCTATCGAAATGTGAAGCTTAACTTAATATTGCACAGAACGTGGATAAGCAAGACATAAGCATGATAAAATCTTGTAATTTTAACATTTCGTAAGAAGTAATGACTTTCTGCTCTTAATTTCACAAACTTTTTTTTTAACTTCCCAACATTGATTTTCATCAAGAATTGTGGCATCAACTTCAAAAGGCTGAGAAAAAACCCTGTCGGGACCTGTAACAAGAATAGAATTTTTTTAGTTTTTGGAACAATAAAAAAAATCCACATTGGGCTAACTCTGGGGAGTTTGGTGGGTGCACAGTAAGGTGTATATGTAATGTAAATAAAATTTAGTGTCATACCTATGAAGTATTGATAAGCAAATTCGTGTGCACATAAATGCTTATTTTGTTGGTTTTTTTTTTTTTGGGGGGGGGGGGGGCGGGGTCTTCGAATTATTTCTATGTATTTTCAAGATTGATTCAATAAGGTATTGGATTTAACATTGCACACGTGGATAAAAACTGGAAATAATACTTGAAACTCTAACTTTCTTCTTTTGGAGAGGCCAGATAATTCTACTTAAAATCTATTTTAACACTTCAAATGGCGTTTTTTCAATTAAGCTTTAAACTCTTTGGCAATGTGGGTCAAATATTGAAATATTTCCACGAGAAAAGTATTATTGAATCAACAACTTAATTTCTTCAATAAATAATAAAAACTGTATCCTAGCGAATAAGTTGAAATTTCGATCAGCATATACTGTTGATGCATCTTTGATACAACTTTAAAACTGTTCAAAGTACACAATTATCACATCATTTCAATTTGATCACGGAAAGAAAAAAGTATCTGTCACATTACCGACGTATGACATTTCTACAAGGATTGGTTGATTGATTGATTAATTGTATGTTGCTTAATGTTCCTCTCGAACTTTTTCACTCACATGACGCCACCACTTGGTGTTGGAGAACTGAAACTGTTATAAATATGTTTCTATAAATACGTATATATATATGCAAAAATAGGTCTCACATACCTAATATTTTACTGAGCGGGCATAAAAACATCGATGTTTGACCACTGAGTGAGATGTTGCGCCGATCGATGAGATGTTGGACCGCTAACGTCACATAATGGGTAGAGCTTAATCTCATTTGCATTCTTTGGTGTTCAACAGTGACAGACCTGATGTTACATCATAAAAAAAAGTCAAAGATACATGTATGTCAAAAAATAAAATTAAAGGTATAGGAAAACATTTTTTGACTGTGTTCGTGGACAAATGCGTTTTGTCAGACCCAAGAACCACACTGTTTGCCCTCGAGCCCATTTAATTAATGTATATTTTTGTCCTATACTCGGCTCTTACGACCAGTGAGCAGTGAGGGTTCTTTTTCGTGCCAGTATCTACTGCGACACAAAAACTCGGTTATACGGTCTCATTTGAAGGATCGATCTCCACGTCTCACAGTGGAATTCGAACGCGCGACGTAAGGATCAACTTCTTACTAATGCTACGTCCCCACTGTCGTGCGGTCAGTTACGCACGTCACGATAGATCAATCGTAGTTGATCGCAGAGTTTTTGTTGAATTTTATGCCAAGATACGAAGAGATGCGTATAGGTGCGTTTTCATACGTTTCGTTACGCTTTTATGCGCTATGGCCACGATGGATAAATTTCATGTGATGCGATCTCTGACGATCTGACTACCGTTCGGATAAGATGAATTACGTTCCAATAGGATTATCAAGATTTAGTCGAAAAAGGACCTCGATCTGTCACGAATATCATGATCCGAGTTCTCGAGTAGAAAGGATCTCCTACGTTTTAATACGTACTCTTACGATATAATACGTTCATCGCGCACTCTTGCGCTAATATACGATAAAATAACACGTTCATTGCAATGTCTTTCACGATCAGGATCAAGATAGAACATGCTTTGAGATACCATTGTACCCCGACAGACATTTAAAAATCTGACTATACTGAGTCCATTATATTTTATCCATTAAAAGTAAAGAAAACATAAGCATACAATCAATAATAATGGCAGAAGTGGAGGTTGATGACAACTTCATAAACGTGGTGTTTGTAGTGTAACTATGGTCATATGTTATTGCTGACAAAGTAGGGCAAAGGCAGCAGTACATGTATAACTGTTTTCTTATTTTACATAGCATTAGCGAGTCTAGAGCAGACTCTCTAACTACTGCGACACGTGGGCGACTATCTAGAAGGAAAAAAAAAACATTTAAATATTTTTAGTCATATTAATCTTGCATATACTTTTCAATTTTGATGCATTATTCAAAGGGAATTTGTTATATAAATTCATGTGCCTTGCAATTTTAACAACTACTTAATACAAGTAAATTGAGTATTTGACTATTTAATCTATGTCATGAATCATATATCTTGCGTGTAGCTTGTAAAATATATCGAGTTTTCATAGGTTCAGGAAATATTTTGAAAGATAACATTCTCATTTGTGTCCGTGTATAATTTCAAATATGTATCAAAACCTTATGACTAATACAAATATTAATGTTTCTAATAGATAGATATTTTCCCCGTTTAAATAAATATTTCTATATTTCCTTTTCAATATTTCCGTACACTTAATGATTAAAATTCGTATGTTAGGTAAGTTCTTACGAAACCCATGTATATAAAATAGACTTTTGTTATAGTGTTAGCTCGTACCGATCCCCTTTACATGTAGACGGAATATTCCTAAATCAAATTCAATATGTTAAAAATAAACGCATAACAATTGGAACGTATAATACGCAAATGCGAGCAAACGATAAGTAATTTATGCTTACAAGTAATCAAAACAATTATAACGAATGTAGAGATTACTAGTAGATGATTGGCACACGTTTACAGTCGCTATAAAACAGATTGTCCATCAGCAGTATCCCAATTAATTATTTATATGGAAAATAGAGACACATAATCATATTCAAGCTTAAAAGTACAATGACCTCAGAGCAAGTAATGTTTTGATTTTGGTAAAACGATGTAAAATACTGATTCTGTTCTCAATTTTGCACTTAGTCTATATTGTTTTATTAATCCTTGACGGAAATACAAATAGTTTTTTTGTTTTTTTATTTTCATTTTTGTTTTTATAATTAATTAACTTATTTAAAAGGTTTATTGGGTCAATCAGGACCTTTTCATTTGAATTGGTTACAATAAAAAAAGTATCAGCAATGTACATCGTTGTGACTGTAATCCTTCAATTCAAAAATATTTTTCTACAAATTAGAATATATAACACAGTACATGAATCTTTACTAAACGTAGGATATCTTACTGGTTCTGATATTTTACAACTAATAAAAATAATGAATTATTCTTAGAGACGGATCGTCCATTTGTGAGAAATAGAGTCTGTCTTCACTGTCAGTGGTGACGCTACACGGACTTTGAATTCCCTCATACGTCAGGAACCTTAGAAGACGGCCATCTTTGTTGATGACGTGAAATTTGTGGTTTGCATCGTCAGCAATAATCATATCACAATTAGAATTACAACAGATGTCCACTGGATGGAATAATTCATCTTTATGGGCATCGTATGAAAAGCGAAAATCGCCCTCACTATTCACCACAACCACTGATGAGGTTCCTTTTTCAAGACGTAAAAACGCCGGATTGGTCACGCAAATATCGCCATTGCCATTTATAGCAATATTGTCGGGAAATTGAAATACATGCCCACCAATACTGTTTCCTATTTCAAGAAGTTTCTCTCCCTTTATATTAAACTTGAATATTCTGGGAGGTGTGGTATTGCAGACGAATACCGTCTCTGGTTCGACAAATATTATGCCCCTGAGACTGCCTTCCAGAGGTAGTAAAAGTGTGTCTCCAACATCATTTACTTTCCTTATACCTTCTGAAGCTGTATATAAAAAGCCATCTTTAGTCGGAGTGAAAAACCTCACCATGTTTTTTGGTTTGTATATATCAAGGAGATGTCCTTCTGTGTCAAAAAGTTTCAGACGTTGGGCATCCTTTTCTGCTACATAAATGTTCTGCTTCTCACTGTATCTCACACATATCATATTATCTAGTCCACTTGGAATAATATCCGTTACTTCTGGGTCATGGATTGATTTTTCCACAATTTTGAATCTTTTGTTATACAAAACAATGACATGATCGACTTCGCTTATCTCAAAGTGTTGCAATAAGCATTCTTTACACAGTCTTTTTCCACACGGTTTGCAAAAGAACTGTACTTTCATATTACAAAACTGGCAGCTCAAAAAATCTTGCATTATATTGTCTGCCATTCTTGCACATAGCCTTACATAATTTGATCGGGTGTTCAATTCAGGAAAGACTATCTTGAACGGCTTTGAATAGAATTTAAATACCTGACTCAGATGACATAGATCGACAGGCATATGCGTGTCTTAGGTTCTTATTTGTAAACTTTTAAATGCTTCCCCTATGCAATATAATTGCATATAACTTATTTAGGTCAGGTTATTGAGTTGTTTAATATTTATTTGGGACTTCGGAAGGCAATGCAAAATATTTTTTTTGTGAATTGCAGTATTTTGCCACAATGCTATTTTGAAAAATTGCAAATATTCTTTATAGGTAAAAAAAGTATAAATGATTGTTATGTTTCGAACATATTTTATTAAATAAATAAAAAGGATTGCAATTAACTTTGAATTTATACGACTCCAATTGAATGCAAAATACCCGATAAGCCATGATATGCATGCATGAATGCAACTAATGCTCAAGAAGAGTTTAAAACATTTTAAAAAAGAGCTTAATCCATAAAACACGTTTGAGTCAAATATATGTATACAAGATTCACGAAATCTAGATCACCAAAAATGACTGACTTTCAATTTATGCAGACAATTATATGTATAGTAAAATGTTTTCTTTCTTTTTTAACCATGAACAAGCATTAGCTTTTCGGTAAAATTCTCTTCCTGCAACGTAGACACATTCTGTTGAACGCACACTCAGTTAAACTGGCTCTCAATTGTTTACTTGACTAATAAGGTTATATATGACATATTGTATAATTATACAGTCTGTATTGTTGAAATTTTCAGACTAACTAAAAAAAATTAAGGTGTTTAATCTACTTTTATTTTGTTTAATATGAAAATAGGACCAAGAAATTGTGCGATTAAAATTAATTGCATTTCAATTAAATTACTTAATTATTATTTTATTAAAACAATAAACCAGTTATTTCTCAACTCCCTATTTTAAGAGTCGAAGCATTTACATGTAAAGTCAATTTAAATAATCGAGATTTTTCTTTCAAGTTAAAAATCGTAAATGTTCATGTATATAACCTATTTTGTGTTGATCTTCACTCACTATCGTACTGTAACGTGTTTAGGGGTCGTACCTGGTTGATTCCAGGATCTCGGTAAAGATTGATATTTACAATAAATAATTTTCCTCTTAAAAATGATTAGATAAAATGATCGGCCTGCAAATATACACAAATATGGCCCTTCCCTTGCTTGGGGGAAAATCAAACTTGAATGTCAGCGTTATACATGTATTTACAAAAATCACGGGTTCACCCAATGGCACCAGACCAACACCAATATTGCCTTATTCAGGCTCGTAGTGTCAGTCACGACGCTAAGTCCAATCTCCCAGTGGTCAGCCTCTGACAACAGAAGATACTGAATTGTCCTTTTTCAGGACGCACAGTCATCCACTGCTATCAGAGACTTACACTATCTAGAGAGGTCACCAGAGACAAGCCTTTGAGGGTTGACTTCCCTCTGTGGTCGGCCTCTAGATGGTTAGTCACACAATACTAACTTCTTTATTGTGGCAAGCCTCCATCGTCAGGCAATCCACCTAGTATTGATAAAATATTGTGGTAAGCCTCAGTAGTACTAGGCCACCCACCCAACTAACCATATCGCCGAAATATGCCTCTTCTTCCGTCTGGCAATTGGACAAAAAGGAACCTCGCAGCTTAGCTGCGCTTGCTTGTATAGTGTCGTTAAAGGTCACATAATCAGCTTCAGCCAATCACAGATCATCAAAGGCCGACTTGTATAACTGGAATACATAAACCCATTAATTGTTACAGTACTATTTTTCAAATCTCAAATACACCATATATAGCATTAATTAATAAATAAATTTCATTGTGGTACATGTATACATATGGTTCATGTTTGTAATTAATTAATTTACACCACTTGATTAGCCTTTGAATCAAAAATGATTAATGAATACACATGTCACATGACCTTACCATAAAGTTCAATAAAAAATCAGCGGATGGGTGTTCCTCTAGTTTATCTTTCATTCAATATAAGAAGAAAAATGACAAAGAAGTCCCTTGCACTTTTATACATACACGTTACATATAATTATAAATACATGTATACATATATGATAAATAGTTTAACAAAATATTAATATGAATACATTATTATTATTTTCAAACAGTTAAAGCAGTAACATTTGAGTTGTTGAAGTATAAGGTTAGACTGATATAAAATTATTCAATGCTTATTTCAACAGGAAACTATGTTCTTTGAAGTCAGACTTTCCCACGATTATTAATAATGTAAAACAAGGCAATTTGAAAATGCATAACAGATGCTACAATATTACGCATTAATTTTGGTTTTAAAGCCGTGACTACAGACAATATGTTTCAAATTGGTGTATTTATATCTACCATTAGCCCGAAGTAAGATTGAATAATTCTGATGTGAAACAAAAACCTACAGCGTACAGACACTTTACTTCGTTGGAATTAAAACAGTGAAAGAGCTATCTGCATCATGAGCTTTACTTTGCTGTTGGATATTTGCCTTGTTGCCACAATTGTTTCTCTTTCAACAGGTAAAATTTCCTACTTTCTAGGAGCACTGTTTTGTTCAGATATATAATTCAGTTATAATCCGTTGTTTAAAAAATACATCTTTGAAGAGCATTTCCACATTTTCATTTTTTTTTTAATCACGATAGTTTATTTCATAGATATATAAATGCACCACAAAACATTTTTTTAAAAAGTTGCGTATAAATTCTGATAACCAAACGCTCCGAAAGTAACATCTAAAATAGTTTCTTTTTTCGTATATATAAAATAGTTTATATGAAATGTCTACCAAAATTCTGTATTTCTTTTCTTAAGAACAAGTGACTGAACATACGATCGTAGTATGCAACAACAGACCGACCACAATAAGCTGCCGGGAAAGAATTGTCGTACGTTCGGCTATCTTCGGACAACCAAAAGGGAACATATGCGGTGGAAGGAGGGTTTATGGTTGTCAGAGGAACGTCACTGATACAGTATCGGAGTTATGTAGCCATAAAGAAACCTGTCAGTTTACACCTGGGAGCATTTTGTTTGGCGATCATTGTCCAGGGACTGTGAAATATACAGAGATTGTATATCTGTGTCATTTCTGGCTATTCTAAATAAATTTACGTGCTTGGACTATGAATCCAAATATGTGAATTAAACAGTATCATGCAAGACAGTTTTTTGTAATTTATCATATATATTTCTGTTTTGTATTAAGGTCAGACGATACGTTCCTAATATACGAGGGCTGTTCAATAAATAATGTCCTCGGTGCTCAGAAAGAAGCAAAAGACGCTTTTCAATGATTTATTCTTAATGATTTTACTATAATTAATCTCTTTTAAGTAAAGTACATGTCCGTAACATTTTTTATCCATTTTCTGATCGTTTGAAGAACTCATTTTTGGGTATGACCCTTAGTAGACCGGAAAATGGCAGATCCAATGATTTCCCGGACTTGTTTCTTCCTTCTGAAAGGTGTTTTTTCTAAGTTTGGAAATAGAAACACTTTCTGTTTATCCCGAAAACCCCTTAACTCTTCAGGGCATGCGGGTTTGGACGCTGTCTTGAAGAAATTCAATGTAGTGGATTCCTGATTCTGGGTCCTTCCTCTAATAAACCTTTTGATTTTTTGGCCAAAAAAGTGCTTTCTAGACTCCTCCAGAAAGTAAACGCCTCTCCCAATACGATTTTGAACAACAATACCACTAATGTTTAAGAAAATTACATACAAATCTGTCTTTGTGCTCATGCATACCTCTGCACTTGACAGACATTCGCCGTTTTTATCAAGTACATCTTATGGTAAATTTTGTTTTTAGGGTTTTTAGCAATAGATACATGTTCAAATATCTGTTTGAAAATAAAACAAACGTGTATAACTACAAATACTGATATTTTGAAATAATTGTTAAGAATTTTGTACACGCTGTCATTTTCAGTCATTTTTCAAAATATAGGGTGACCTTTGAGTGTTAAGCTTTTTTACCGTCAAACATTTCTTAAATACAGTGTAAACTACCCCCGAAATGATGTCTAGCAAATTTGCTATGTGTCTTAATGTCAATCATACATCATCAAATATCATTTGTTGAAATTTGGCGAACAGTACATAAGTTTTTATAATTTTTGTTGGCAAGGAGGGTACCCATTTTTGATGCCCATTATATAATTTTTTATCATTGAAATCCACCTGCTCTCTTGTCTACAAAACAGGTATTGGTTGCTGTAAATGTCACATATTTCAGTAAATATTTCTTTGGGATTTTTAACAAGTTTTACGGCAGCTTTAATGAAGCTTTTATTTTCACTCTAGTTTACTGATTCTTTACCATTCATTTATAATGCAGTGTCTCAAAAAGCCCTTGTTTTCCAGCTTCTCACGATGAAACTATGTGTTGAAAAGTGGTCATATAAACTGTTATAAATTCATGAAAGATTCAATAATGAGAGAAAGTCAAGTTTAATGTCATATGATATCTGTAATGTATGTCATATAGTTCAGGACATTATTTATTGAACAGCCCTCGTATATGTTTTGTATCTCTTGGTATTATATCACAAATTATTCATATCTGTCATTCTCTTCTGATTTCTACATTGTTTTCAAAATGTTTTCAAATATAAGTGCACCAAAAATTGTGTTATAGGCCATTTAGAAGATAACCCATAAGGGATATATAAGAAATATGACCATATGGTATCTTGGCCAAATGCCTGGTAAGGTACCCTTATTTTTTGTGAGGAAACTTGTTTATGTACCTAATAGATACTTCAATGATAAATTCTTGGGAAAAATTATATATTTTTGAGGAACATGTCGTCTGATCTTAAGCATTGAAGATGAGTTTTGGAATAGTGCCACCAGTTTAAAATATATCCTTTGAAATAGATACATTTACAGAAGGAAAAAAACAAGTGTGTTATACATTCAAACCTTCATTGTCGAGATGTTTATTGTTAAAATTAGTATAAACGCAATGGCGTGATACATGGTTCTAATTAAACATTTAAACATGCCAGTAAAATGCAACCCATATTAGGTTGTTTTTACGAACTTCACAAAGATCGTGTAATTTGCAATACAACCGACAAACAATTTGAATATTTGGGTTAACGTACCTAAACTGGTTTTCTAAACTTTATTAAATATTACAAACGAAGACATGTAGCGCGTTCTAGTAAATATAATAATGTATAACATGGAGTAAAGAAAGGATATTTTAAGGGTAGTATATGAGAAAATTCACGAGTACGTATTTAGTCTTGATTCTACTTAAATTTATTTAGATAAAAAGTTAAATTAAAAACATTGTGTTGTACAACAGATAACGGATAATGTAAGAATACAATGGGATGTAACTTTTTTTCCCAAATCATTTTTTGTCTCTGGTAATTTATATTTGTGAGTAAATAAAATGTGTCACGCTCTAAAAGCAATTATAGATATAATCTTTCAATTGTAAAACTTTAAATTGTTTTACTGCATTCGATTTCATCTTTGTTACGTAGCAGGTGTTATTAATAGATATAAATTTCATTTAAATAGAAATTATAATTTTTTTTCAAGGTACTATACACTCTAGGATATAAAAGGTAAAATCTATAAGAAGAAAACGAAAATGATAAATTTGCTATTTTTCTTGTTTTATAAAATTGGTTCATCAAAATTATAACTAATTCCTTCTTTCTTATTTCACACTTTTATATAAACTGTTAACACAAGTTTGTGCTGTTGGAACTTTTTTAAAGGCAGTTTAGATCATAATGGTGATTTTTTGGATGCCACTTTGTCTGTCCTTGGCCTTCTTTTCTTGTCTTGGACACAATATTGAAGACGGTAAGTTTTGTTTTTCTAGATTGAATTTTTGTTCATTACATTGGTATATATAAGTAAAACTGGACTCTGGAATAAAAGAAAAAAAGTACTTTTCAGTAAGTGATGTAACGTGATTTTCCTTAGGCATTTCTTTTAACTTTTATTAAAGGAATAATAAGATTAAACATATAAAGCAAAACAACAATAAATCATTGAAATATATCAGCAAATTAGTCCTAGGCTTATTAAATCTTTATAGATGAATGCAAAGAAAGGCAACATGTGGTATCACAACATTATATAGTACTGATCAGATCTCGGGATCTGTAAATAAAATCATTATAGTTATTTTTTTGTTTGTTAATTTATTCATTCATTTTAATTTAATTTAGACAAATAAGGCTTTCAATATAATTTTATACGAAGGTACCATTGTAAGCAAATTATACAAAATAGACTTTTGTTCAAATTATGATATATGATAGGCAACACTATATTTAATATTATATCTAAGAAACATAAATTTTATCACCTTGATTCCAGAGGAGGCATCTCAAAATATCAAAATTAATTAAATTCCCCTATTTTCAGGACTATAACAAAAATATGACATATATAAAGGATTCATAAAAAAAATTATAAAATGATTAAAAGAATCTCAAATTACTTTTCATTTGTAAAACCTTTATAACCCCATCTTTAAGAGCTACAGGTTATCATAACGTCAAGAATACGCTTCTTTGACGTCACTGTATATATCAACCGAAAAATCATTTCAAAACGGTTTATGAAAAAGCGTAAACTGTTCCAACCCAGTTTATACCGTATAAAATGGGTAGCAATTAAATTAATTCCTTATAATTAAATTTTCATTCATTTTGTGCAAAAAAAAAGAGAATTGTTCTGATAAAATGACTTCAGTTTCTTCAAAATTTGAATGTAACGTCAGGCGGTTTGATACGTTTTTGACGCAAGTCAATGCATGGGACATAGGCATCCCATTCTATACGATATCAAGTATTTTTATCCTGTCAAATACAGTGTTACAACCAGAATTAAATCATATGAAATTCTAATTAAATTTTTCAACAACTGTTTTTTGTTTTTGTTTTGTTTTTTTTTTTTATTCAATTTTATAAATTACGTGAAAAGAAATGCATTGAAATAGAAAATATCCTCATATTTAGTATGATAAGCGTAGTACAGGGCAAAGGAAACCCCAGTTGGGCCCCTGAATCAAGAGAATTATCCCCATGATATTGCATATTTTTAAATCAGTCTAAGCATAATTCTCCAAGGAACTAACATGTGACCTTTTGACTCTCCAATTTAAGCCTGGACGCTGGTTTTCCATGCTATAAAAGGCAATGGATATGATGTCTATGCTGCATGGGACAATAGATCCCCATAACACTGCACACCAAAACGAGGCTGTATTCCCCGACAGTTTAAGCTTGAAAACTGGAGGTACAGCGGAAGGCATTTTCGAAGTCCACTTATTGATCATTGGAATTCCCTAGATATTGTTAAGGTTTATTTATATTCTTATACGTTTAAGTATTATTAGAAGCTGTTAATATTTGTTAGCGGCAAACATCATTATAGCAGTATTTCAAAAGCAATTGTTTTAGTCTGATTCTGCGTGTGGAAGTAAACTTATATTCGATATTTCAGCATGTGATACACTGTACTCAGGGTTCTCCATCGTTTGAAATTTTACTGTGTTGCAGAGTTTACGCGAAGCACTTAAAATTTCGGGGTATTTTTGCGATCAAATTCGCACCTGAATCACTTTTCATTATAATTACGAAGCAATATATGCACATATTTTTTTTTTTAAATCGCTAACTCGCTACACAAATAGTATGGTCGTACAAATTGGTGAAAGAAAAAACACATGTTCTGAAAAGCAGAGGAAAATCTGGAAACTACTAAACATTATTGAAAGTAAATTTACCGTGGTTATTTGTCAGTTTTCTTGATCAAATCACTGAATTACCAAAAAAGAACCTTTAGAATAGTAAAATACTTTTAAAAGTTCCTTGAACATATTGAAAATTTTAAGCAATTTATTTCCATCAGTTAAATTACTTCGGTACGATGTTATGTTTGACTTACAGTGCTAACATAATCCTAGAGCCGTGGCTCTATAGAGTTCGAAAAGACATACCAGTATTTAAATATATTTTTTTAAACATAATACAATTATTTTAATGCAACTACCAATTAACCGTTACATCGAAGTGTTGAAACAATCATTTGCCTTTGTTCCTTCATGCTTAAAGTCCGATGAAGGTCTAGGAGATGATTGATTGCGCAAGGTGAAGCCCTGGTAATTCAGTGCTTTTGCTTTTAGAATTGAAAGACGATAGACTTGTTTGCTTAAAGTTTCAGTTAGAGTGAATTCATATGTTTTGAGTTTCTACTTATCACAAATCCTACTGTGTCGGCAAAACTTTTACCGTGTCGCACGCATAAAATTTGAATCATTACTGTGTAGGGGAAAATTTTACTGTTTCGGGAGCAACACAGTAAAACAGCTCGTGGAGAACCCTGCTGTACTTCTTACAACCGATTCAATCCAAAATATCGGAAGGTCTAGGAGATGATTGATTGTGCAAGGTGAAGCCCTGGTAATTCAGTGCTCTTGCTTTTAGAATTGAAAGACGATAGACTTGTTTGCTTAAAGTTTCAGTTAGAGTGAATTCATATGTTTTGAGTTTCTACTTATCACAAATCCTACTGTGTCGGCAAAACTTTTACCGTGTCGCACGCATAAAATTTGAATCATTACTGTGTAGGGGAAAATTTTACTGTTTCGGGAGCAACACAGTAAAACAGCTCATGGAGAACCCTGCTGTACTTCTTACAACCGATTCAATCCAAAATAATTTTAGTAACCTCTCTTTTGATAAGCTTGTATCTGAACTCCTATATTAATTGTTAATTGCTTAAAAAATGTAAATAGGGAGAGAGAGACTGTGCTAGAGCATATAGAAGAGTTGTCAATCAGATATGTATTTTGAAAATACTAAAATTCAAATTATCTTTTTTTTCTGTACTATATACTATTTCTTGAGAATTTGAAAAAAACATGCTTTTGATAACTTCTTATTGATATCAAAGCTGTTTATAACTTGTTATTGTTAAACAATAGCATTTTCTCTAAATAATCAAACTGATTCTAAAATATGGTACCCTGAAGCAGATATTAAAGGTATGCAGGAGTTCACAGCATTTATATGGTCTTTAGAGACTTAGGCGTAGGCTATCATTTTTTAAAAACTCAATTTGACTATAAGGACTGCACATGTCTTGTCCACCTGATAATCACATGGGGGGTGGAATAATTACTCTCTCGTGCGCCCATGATACAGCATCTGGAATTTCCAGAGGTCCGTGCTTGATCCTCTTTGCATTGACTATAGATTTTATGAGATCGATCTCTCTAGGTTATCTTCATGTTGTTTCCATTTAACAAAGTAGAAAATAGTTGTTTTTTTTTTTTTACAATTCTGCCTGATATTACAAAAATGATTGTATGCATGTAGGTTAACATTATGTGCATTTATAATATTAAATCTACGATGGCCGATATCAGCCATGACAGTTTACATACAAATTTAAGGGTAGCGTGTCGGTGAATTGTTTCACATGACAGTCTAACCTTAAAGCAAAGTGGCAAAATGTACAAGCTGTCATTCCGTGATGTCAAGTTACTGTGGCATGATATACACTTTGCTTTTCGTAAAGTGTACAGCGTGTTCATACAACTTTGCTTGATGGCACTTTACCCTTAAGTGCAATTAAAATACTTTATCCAAAAAACAAATGAATGAATAAATAAAAAAAAAGATAAGATCAACCAACCAGCATGGAGGAACTATTAACATTGAGAAAGTTCGGTTTCTGAGACATTTATTTCGGTTGCGATCGGGGCCGATTTCAAACATATAATTATATTAACATATATAAACGTTAACTTTGTGTAAAACTATTAAATGATATTTTGTGAAAGTAAGGATATTTATAGTATATCACTCATGCCTCCCCCCAAAAGGTCCTTTGAAAAGCTACAAAAGTATGCGATCTGAATAATATCTTACACCTCTACCAAGTGAATGCCCCCTCACTCTAAAACAATTAAAGATTTTAAAATAAACAAAAATAACCAGTTTTCTAAACTTCTTTTAATATGGCAATGCTTTGCAGGTGTTATCTACCCTCTTAGTATTCTAAGGATTCATTTCGTCATCCATTTTTTTTTATCAAAACGTAACTTGAAATCTTTGTGAAAAAAATCTAAAAGGAATGAAATGATAATGTAAATAATTGAATGATTGATTTTATACTATCCATTCAAACATTTTTCACTCATATAATGAAGTCACAATATACCGGTGATGGGCTCCAAAAATTGACCTTTACTCGACACTCAGGACGATAGATTTGAACATATTTTATTATGTAATAAATACATAAATAGATTAGGCAGCAGGTATATAGCCACATGTTTAAGGTTAATTAAAATACATTATACTATATAGTTAAAGGTTTATACATGTATATCACCAATAAGTTTAATTTAAGTAACAAAATTGGATATACGCATATGTTAATAATCATTTTGGCCCCGATTGCGACCACAATAAAGTCTCAGAAACTGAACTTTCTCAATGTTAATAGTTCCCCCATGCTGGTTGGTTGATCTTATCTTTTTTTTATTTGTTCATTTATTTGTTTTTTGGATATGAAGTATTTTAATTGCACTTAAGGGTAAAGTGCCATCAAGCAAAGTTGTATGAACACGCTGTACACTTTACGAAAAGCAAAGTGTATATCATGCCACAGTAACTTGACATCACGGAATGACAGCTTGTACATTTTGCCACTTTGCTTTAAGGTTAGACTGTCATGTGAAACAATTCACTGACACGCTACCCTTAAATTTGTATGTAAACTGTCATGGCTGATATCGGCCATCGTATAAATCGTTCATACACTTAGCTTAAACAAACTCAATAAAGAAAGTTGTATTTGTGTTTTAAAAATAATTTCTTTTTCTTAAAATGTCCAAAAGTACTAATTTGATTTTGATTATCGGACAAAGCAGGTGTAAAAAAGTTTGTTTTTTTTTTAAAAGAGCCAAAACACACTAAAAAATGACCAGTCTCATAAATCTTGCAAAGAAATAAAACGAATGAACAGGACATAGAACAACAGACCAAAAATAGATTTTTTGTAGTTAAAGAATATTGAGAGACAACAAGATCTTGTCATGCCTGTAAAACAGTGATTAAATTTTAATGAATATGAATATTTGTATTGATAAAAAGTTCTTGAATTGATGGATAAATACAATAAATCTATAGATCAGGTGCAACAGTTAACCTTTATTTTAACAAATTGGGATAATGAACATTACATGTAGGTCCGGGTAGTGTTTGGAGAACACGGGAAAACACTTGCTTTTTTTGGAATTCGACGGGAGTGGCAGCAACAAGAACAACTGGTTCAGCAAATCCAGATTATTACACAGTAGCTGGTCCGATCTTAAGACTAGTACTCAGACTAATTTTTTCTCATTGAAAGGGTATACAAATTTTCATTACTGTGTAAGTCCATTTATACTCAACAAAAAAAGAAACGCATATTCAATTTAATATGAAAATCTAAGTTTTAAGTTTAAACCTTATTTTATTTAAGTAATTTTAGAGTTTGTTGTGATAAAATTTAAAAATGTCATATGTTGCAAATTGAATAGTCAGGTTGTTGCCATTTTCATTGCCCGAAAATTCAAGGGGCATAACAATATGTATTGTGCAACGTCTCAACGCCAAATTGATTCCAGTGTGCGGATGTCGGGTACGAATACCATCTCCTCTCAGTCCCTTGTGAACGATTTGTGCACTTTTATGCTGATGATTTCTTCAACCAGCAATTGTAGGAGCAGTTTGTGCAGCAATTATGAATTGATTGCTGAAAGGGGGGGTTGACGGTCCTTTCTGGGTACGATAACCCGTTTACGGCCAGTTTTTTGTCTGTTGTCCGTGTTCTTAGCTGGTGGAGACGTACGTTAAACTGCTGCAAAGCCGATTGGTGAACACTAAATGCAGTTGCAACCTCCTGTTGCGTAGCTCCGGTTATCGTCATAGTTAGCCCGTTTTCAGTTCATCTTTGTTAAGGCGTGAAATTGCAGCATTAGCATTGCTATCAAATCTTAAATATGTGTTTAATAGGAGCGTTTATTGTTTCTTTAAATCGAAAATATCAATGAAAATAGACCCCCGATTTACAAGAAATAATGAAAAACACTATTTTCATAAACATGATTATTCAAGGGAAATAATTCAACACTTGGGTTTTAAAATCCCCATGTTGTCCATTAAAATAGATCACAGGTATCCAATGGGAAAAGAAATTAGTCGTTCCATACACTTTTTCAAAATTTCTTTGATAAGTAAAAAATATGCGTTTCTTTTTTTGTTGAGTATATGATACACTGAATTGACGACGGATTTTCCGTTATTTTTCGATCATGACAAGGAGCACACGGCGGGTGTAAACGGTTGGCAGGGGATGTTAACGGCACCTGATCCCACATCTGATGTTTTGGAGGTCTGTGTTTGTTCTGCTCCTATTTTGTATTGTTTTATGGACTTTTGATCTTGAATACTGTTCGTTAATTTTCTCCACATGTGTCATTGTTTGAAAACATTTTGAACTTTTTATAGACATGATGCCCATATCAGAAGACATTTTATTACGGCGGATGCCCAAACGATATTTGTTGGTTAGTTGTTTTAGATAAGACAAATGAAGTGTGTCCCTGGGCGAACAAAGGGGATTTTCCACTTTTCCTGTACAGCAAGGGTTCTACGGCTTCCAACTGGAATCATAGTATGTTACTTTAAAAATTGCGCAAATACCAAATACACTTTGTTAGTTTAATTCATACATGTACCTCATTTGAGCACTATTGAAATATTATATCAACTTAGAATATTTTTATACAGATTTGTAAGTTTTTGAGGAAAAAATCTTCAAACTATTTGATAACTTGGGCGGACTTCTGTAATACAAGAATAATTACAAAAGTTAGTTAAGAAATATTGACTTGAAAGTAAAACATATATTGCATTGTTTTTCAATTTTCTTCATTCTTATATTTTGGTGACCTCAAGACAAAACAGAACAATTGTTCTTTTTCTTTTATCTCTTACGTATTTTTGTACTACTTATGTTTCACAATGAATTAATGTCTTACATTCTAGACCCAGGATTCGCTGATGTAATGAACGTCTACATCCTCAGAATCTAATTTAAAAAGTTGATGACATTAACAAAAGAGAAATATATCAAATTGTGTAAACATGAAATACAAAAGAATAAATAAAGCAACTCTAATGGAAAAATCTGTTTTGATTCTTGGTTTTTTTTTATTCAGCTTGCCTGAATATCATTCTTCATATGAGAAGAATGAAACTTAACAATGTTGTTGTGCGAAGAAATGAATACCCTAGAAGCTTTTTTAAAGAAGCTTCAAATAACATATACGAAAAATATGTTAGAATTTGCAAAGTAAAACAAACAATGGATCTGAAAAAAATACAAATAAAATATGCATGGCCACGCGATATTAAATTTATTTTTGTCTATTTATCTATGTTATCACTCTATTTATCATAATCAAATCAAATAAAGAGTGAGTTTGGAAACATTGAGGCAATACAATTAAACTCAAACTGTGTATGAAACTAAATATACAAATGTAGATACATTAGCATCTGCTAATAAACAAAAATCTATAAAGAAAGTTTTAGAACCCCAAACCATGTATTTAAATAATGAATTAGTTTCTTAATCCATGCATTACTTCCAAAATTCGCTCAAAACATTTTAGACAAATTTTGGCAAGATCAAGTGATAATAGCATGACTACATGTATAACTAAATCCTTATATAATATTTTTCTCTGCTGGCTACATCATTCCTAGAAAAGCTAAGCATGAAGCAAAAAATTAAAAGATATCCTTTTCATATCCATTCCTATATATTTTAAGAACTCATTTATATGGATATAACATATAAATAAGATAGAAAAACATAAGATAATATTTCTTTAAAGTCGGGTAAATCAAGAGAGAATGTTGAATTTTCTCGACTGCTACATATTATTATATGAAAAACTACAATCATGCAAATAAACAAGAAATTGTACTTTAAAATGTCACAATACGAAAAATCAACATAGTTAATGACATGACACTTTACTTAATCACAATAATACCAACATACATGTACCTAAATAAAATACTCCTTATATTTTTTGCGGTTTGTTTGGATTTGTTTTCATTGTTGAAGAAATGTACATAAATTGTACCTTTTATTTTGTGAAAGACATGAATTAGTGAGTTTCTTCATAGCATAAAAAAAATCAACTCCCAAGAAAATTAGTGATTTTACAGTATCCCAAAAAATTAAAGATTTGCATTCGATAAATACCCACAATTACTGAAAAACCTTGAGAGTGTTCACTTAGCTGACATGTGTTATTATTTAAAATAAGGATCATTATGTTGATTCAACTTAAATACATGAAGATGATCAAGAAGATGTCAACTTTTTTACGATTTTTCAGATATTCTCTGAAATTGTGCTACTAGAGATGACGAAATACTAAACAGCGTCTAAAAGCTTAATAATAGCAAAGTCTATAATGGTTCTTAATAATTTACTTAATGAAAATTTTGTGTCAACTGTGGAAAATGTTTTTACCTGTATGTAGGAAAACTGATAAACTTGATTGTTGATGTTCGTATCAACTCACAAAATTGAGTTAAAGAATAAATCTTGGAACACAAGTAGATGCAAGAAACCCGCCACTTCTTATAGGTGTGGTCAGATTTCAATGCAACATGTTACACTAATTGATAAAACATAGGATCAAATTCCATAAATAATGAATCTCAAAATATATGCACGATTACTCTAAATCTGAACTTGGTATCGGAATGAAATTATCCACTCTTCCCCTTTAGGTCATTTTTTTTAAATTTTACAAACGATCGAGTCAAATAAAGCGTGCAAAAAAAAACATTCAATTGATATCACATTTTTAGGACCTCGTGATATGCTGATGTTCTTGTTTGAAGACCATTTGATGATACCAGTCAGCTGTCACGTTTTCAAGGCATTGATTGAATAATCTTCCAAGTCTAATTTATTGTTCCATAGTATCAGATTATGATTTTGAATGCCATTATTTTGCATATTTAAACGTTTTTTTAATGTCAAAATTTACGGACAACTCCAGCATCCAAATACTAGTGTCTCAAAGAAATAATTTTTTGTAATTCCATAATGATAATATTATCCTTTCTGTTACATACGTAGGAGGTTAAGTGCATCTATACAGCTGTACTATACATATTTCTGTTCTGCATATAACCATACCTGAAGCATCGTCCATGCGTATAAATTGCAGACACGTTCCCTTTTAATCTATAAGATTGTTAGTACTAGTTTCAGATAAGTAGTATACTTTAATTATTTTTCTTTAAATAGTTTCCTCTAGAAATTCCAATTAGGGTTATTTGGTAGAGTGGAAAGGGTAAACTGTCATTTTCCCCTCCAATGTTCTTTTTAGTGCACTTGATGACCAGTTGACTTGGAGTTGGTTATCTTGTCCTTTTTAAGGCAGACTTTATTTTTCCAACCTCAAATGCATCGATTCCAGTCATTAACAGTGCTACACTACACCATATTGTTGTATTTTCCGAAAACTTAATACATGTATAAACTCTTTTAGATATAATTTATTAAGGCTCTGGATCATGACTTTATCTCAGCAACATATATGCATTTATTATCTGTCACATCTTATTCCACTTCTTGTTGCATGAGGCGTAAAATTTCAATTATGCATGTGTCATTATCTTCAATAATGTTATTTAGTGTGTAAATATATTTTTTCCACGAGGTGAAGAATGCCTGGCAATTCAAAGTGACTCAACGGCTCTTCAAATAATTTAATCAGTGAGTTAACTTCAAAAACAGATTTGTTTAAATTCCTTGGATGTTCATGAGTATTCAAATGCGTTCATTCCGTTCTTCGTATGCCCATCATCAACATGCAAGATATTTTCCCCACTTTTACATATTTTGGTTGTGAAATTATTAATTTCAATTATATAATTTGTATTTCTACAAAGCTTCTCAGTATTTCTACTAACTGGTCCTGTTAAAGGCTACAACTGGGGTGGAAAAGCTGGGCAGCAGCGAGGGCAACAGCCAAAGACAGAGGCAGGTAAAACCAGTGTAATAGGACCTTATGTGCCAGCAGGCACGAAGAGGATAGGTAAGGATAGGTGAGATCCTGTTGAAAGACCTCTGAACATTTACGATTCCTTTTGACTCAACTCTTCAAACCATTTTAGGCCAATTCTTGATTTCATTCGTGTCCTGGAGGGAATTTTTGATACAAGTATTCATAGCTCTTGAATGTTCCTCCGAGGGGTTTTCTTTTTTATTGAAAAAGTGTCTTTTTTGAATCAGATATGCACACATGTCAAAGCGCTCCGAAATATCCCGTCCATGTCCATATCGGTGAAAGATAACAGGTGATATCCATTATATAATAAGTATTGATACTTGTTATATGAGCTGACTGTACAGGTTTAGGGTTGTTAAGGAATTTCTCATGAGTGTGGAACAGATTATCTGATATGAATCCGATATGAATTTTTCTGTGTATTTTTGATCAGCATATATTCATTATCAATCTTTCAATTCATTTTCACTACTCATGATCAATCATTTCCATGAGGGAAAGGATGGAACTTTTATGCAAGGTTTCAAACTGAATCGCATTCATTTCTCATGTATTCATTTAAATTTCTGTCGGTGGTGGCATCTGCTATACAATAATACAAGAGGCACATAGGCCACATCGCTCACCTGAGCACTGTGGCTAGGAAAAAAAGCAGAAATAAAAGTGGTCCCAACCAATCCTTAAAGGGGAGGAGGTTATGATTTGAACAAACTTGAATCTACACTAAGGATGGTTGTATTTTTCTTTGACTAGCTCTTTAAATTTGAACTTATATTGTGCCCCTCCCCCCACCCCAACTAAAATATGACCAATCATGGCTTTGTTGTCCTTGAAATACGTTCCCTATATTTTCCTAAGTAAAATTGTCATTGTGGTCCCGCTCTATCCCCGGGGGTCATGATTTGAACAAACTTGAATCTCAACTACCTGAAAATGCTTCGAATTCCATATAAATATGACTAATCATGGCTTTGTTATTCTTCAGAAGAAAATTTTTAAAGAATTTTCCTATATACAGTGTATTTCTAAATAAACTTTAATTGGCCACTGTGACCCTGCCCTACCCCCAGGGGTCATGATTTGAACAAACTTGAATCTACACAACCTGAGGATGCTTCTATGTAAATATGACTTATCATGGCACATGGCAATGCTATTCTTCAGAAGAGGATTTTTAAATAATTTCCTATATATTTTTATGTAAATCTTTGATCGGCCATTATGGCCCCGCCCTACCTCCGGGGGTCATGATTTGAGCAAGCTTGAATCTACACTACCTGATGATATTTCCCAATAAGTTTCACTTTTCCTCTTGAGAAGAAGATTTTTAAAGTATTTCACCAAACATATACTATTTTTGAATTAGCTACTTTTGAATAAGGGCTTGGTCCTTCATTTGATTAAACTTGAATCCTTTTTACTCAAGGATGCTTTTTGGCAAGTTTAGTTGAAATTGGCCCAGTGATTCTAGAGAAAAAGTCGAAAATGTGCAAAAAATTACAGACAGACGGACAAACGGACGCCGGACAAAGTGTGATCAGAAAAGCTCATTTGAGCTTTCACCTCAGGTGAGCTAATAGAATTAGATATTTATATATAATTTAAAATTGTTTTATTCATTTTCAATTGCTGAGAAACATAAATATACCAATAAATTATTCACATAATTATCTAAAACAAATGCTTTCGTGTAATACTAGTGTTTAAATGTTTAGATTCAGGATAATCATTAAATGTGTAATCATAAGCACATGAGCAGATAAAGTAATTGTTTATAACAAGCATATTGATATCATATTCTTTCTTTTATATTTCATAAATGTTAAGCTAAATTTTTAAGCCAATTCGTAAATGATTAATACATGTATTATTTTTTATTATTTTTTTTATGAATTTTTATTTTCTCTCATTGCGGTTCAAACCTGTTAAAACATTTCTACATATTCTATGTGGTGTTTTGTTTATTTTGATAATTTACCTTCCTACCTACTAAAATTTATTCGTTGTAAATCATTAAACCATGTGAATAAAGTATATTTGCTCCTTATGGGAAACCAGATATATTTAAAAATTCGCATACCATTTAAAAAAGGATTTCTTTGGAATTGATCTCGTCCATTATCTGCATTCAGATGCATCCTTTTCTTATTTCTTAACAAAATATATGAAGAGATACCTGCATTTAGACAAACCACGACAAGAGTCAGAAATACGAAGAGCGTCAAGTTTATTCTGGAATGAAAAAACATGTATGATAATAAAGCTCTTTTGTTAGATTGTCAAAACTATATTTCTACAGATTCTATTTGGTAGATAGCACAAAAAAGCTGACACTTACATGTATACATGTAGTTAAAATAAAAATGATATAGTTAAAAAGATTTAATCATAAAGTGTTCTATCAATGTTATTTAATATTTTACTTATTAACTTTTTATTTTTGTTTTGTGACGTCAAAGTGCATGACATGTCCTAATATATTGATTGAAAAATCATAAATGGGAGTATAAGACATTAGATTGTCATCGAAATTAAACAAATTTGCATCATCGATCATTCTCAAAATTTGTTAAAATTCAAAGCAGGTATCGTTAAATTTTCATTGGCTTGTCGTCTCTCGTATAAATCCTTGAATTCCACGTAATTAAATTATAAAATGTAATTGAAAAAAGATGGTGTCTTTTTACGAAATGAAATTTAAAATTTTAATAAAATAGATACTAAGGAGACACAAACACAAAAAAATATTGATCATTATACAGAAACCTCTGACTATGTTAGCGCTATAACAGAGACGTTTTTTAAATACTGTAAAAAGCAATTTTAAAAAAAAAAATAAGAAAGCAATGGAGAAGAGATTCTATTCTTTATATTTTTTATCCCTGCAGGTATTTCTTATTTACCCTTTCACCCTAACAAGTTACTTAAGTCACGGAACCCATTGCCAGAATAACATCATTGAATCTTCTTTCGAAATGCTTCAAAAACATTGATGGATGTCACTACCCAGTGCAGATTTAATATTGAAACATACTTCATTGATAGTTTTCTTGAGACTTTTATCATGTTTTTTACAACTGTATGTTGAATTGAAGGTACAAGACCCCTTCTCCCCTAGGGAACGATATTTGGATTTTTTCACAAAAACCAAGGATTGTAGCGTACTCAATTTTTCAGTCACTCCTCACTAAAGTTTATCGGCACCCATCTGACAAAATACTTTTTTGCTCACCTAAGTCCCGATCTTTGGTGAGCTTTTCTGATCAAAGGGTACCCGGCGTCCGTCTGTTCGTCTGTAAACTTTTCACCTTTTTGACTGCTTCCCTAGGTCCACTTGGCCATTTGCAATCTAATTTGCCTAGCCACAAAGAATCCTTGGGTAACAGGAAATCAAATATGTTCAAATGAAGGGTACTAAAATCTTTCAAGGAAGATAAATAATATATATTATTAGTTAAAATTCAACAATCTCCAAAAATCTTCACGTCAAGATGTGTTGTGCCATAAAAAGGTAAAACGTATATGGAAGAAGGATATGGAGATAACGAACAGTATTCAATCTCAAAGCTTCTCCATGTCGTACTCAAATGGTAAACCCGGGGATAAGCGGCTTAAATCGACGATTAAAGATGAATCAAGATTTAATAACGCATATAAAGGGAAAATCATTAATTTTCAAATCTTCCAAAGACCAGCAAGAGCATGAATAAAGTTTTTTTTAAGGTTTAATAAGGAATATAAAGGGAAAAATCATTTAAAATCTTCGAAAGAACAGCAAAGCCATGACTAGTCATATTTATATGAAAGCTAGTTATTGTAGATGCAAATTTGTCGACATCGAGGAATTTAGGGGTTGAATGGGGTCAAATTTGGCGATCAGATTTGTCCTTTGCCATGTGCTCGGCACTATGAAGTGAAAGTAGCGGGTCCTTCGGATGAGACCGAGGCCCTGTGTCACGACAGGCGTTGGTATGATAAAATCCCCTCAGTGGCTCTGAGCTCCGAGTAAAGAACAAAATTTGAAGCTCTTCATCGGTATATGGTGACGTCTCTACGTGAGTGAAAAATTCTCGAATAGGACTTTAAAAGACATACAAACAATCAATCAAAATCATCGTTTGAATACCTACTCGTATCAGGAACTTACTTGATTTCTTCTCCAGTGTCTGTGCTTGGGATGTTGCATGCTGTAGCATTATTCTTGGTTATGTTTTTGCTCTGCTTGACAAAATTGTAACATTCTTGATCTACAAATGATGAAATAAAAATGATTACGATACAGAAAATCAGTTTAATATTACTATTAATACTAAGTGTGGTTCTCCAGCTGGTATCAATTTTGTAGATAGATATGTCCCTCGATAATTCATGTTTACCTGCTTGCTATTGTAAGAAAATGATCTATTTATCATTTCAGCATTACACATTTACAATTGTTCCAAAATGATTTCTAACTTAAAAACGTGAATTCTTTATATAATTTACTAGGCACTGTTTTTTCATGTATTGAAGAGCCACACCGTACCAATCTGTTTTTTCTAAATTTTATTTGTGAGGAAATTGTGATAATACGTATGTATTAAGCAAATAAAGAATAAATAATAAAAAAAAATGTGCATAAAACTTATTTTCTCGTATTGTATGTCATTACATTTATATGCCTCTGTTGATGGATATGCGGGAGGGCAGGGAATTCTATCCGTACCACAGCCTGCATCTAAACTCTCCTGAATTAAATTGCCACCAATGTTATACTCTGCACACATTTTGCCTGCATAAAAAAATATATACACCATGAATAATTTTTAAAAGTGTTTTTAGGGCTTAGCTAAAATTGGTGCATTCCACGTACCATATATTGGCTTTGCAGGAGCACAAACCTCGAGCAATTCGGTAAGCATTGTGTTTAAAACACAATGATAAACGAATTCATATGATTTAACACACGTTTGATTAATTGATGAACAATTGGCTTTCTCCGCTTCGATTATCCACTCCAGCTGATTTCTGGGGCATCTGTTCACCTTCTGTACTGTTATTCTTGATGTTGTGCAAGGCATAGACTCGTAATGAGGAATAAACTGCCATAAAAATGAATCATTTATACATCTAAATCGTTCATAACAAATTTTTAAAAAAAACTTTTAAAAAATATTATGAGCTACTACACTTAAATATTGATTAAAAATAAAGCAAAAACAAAGCAACAAAACACTTATATACAGCACTTTAAAGATCGCTGAATTTATTGATGACGAAATGATAACAATCTGGCTTTCAAAGTACACTGAGTAAAGATGAGCTGATAGTGATGATTCAAATCTACGCGCACTACTAGCAACACTTAAAACTTGAAAAAATCAAAGTTATGCAAAATTCTGTGTTCCGTTTACATTGAAAAGATGCTATCTACAATGTTAACCTCCCTTAACTTAATTAAAATCATTACAAGGAAAGACACAAATACATAAAATATAGTATGCTGTGAAGAAGAATTTTTAAGAGTACTGAACAGCAACATATTTGAAAAGTGGTGTAAATCACCTTTGGACCGGATACGTTAAAACTCCAAGAAACTTTGAGAATAATTGAAATTTGAAATCACCAAAATATTTCCTAAATCAGTAGCATCAAAATGTACGAGTTTTCAATATTGTATACCAGCAATATATACGATAAATTTTAGTCCAGAAATATTTTTTAGCTTCTTCTTCAATAAAAATGGAACTCAAAAATGAACTTACGTAGTCACTGGTTATTTACAACATTATAATTTGGTAACAAACACTGATTAAATACTCAAGGACCCAATTAAATCTTTATTTAAAAGATGCTTGAGTTTTTGAATGATAATATGTATGTCGTTTATGGAGACCAACAATTTGTCGGAATTTTCATTGGTATCAATTGTGTCCCATCATTAGCAGACCTATTTTTGTATTCAAATAAAGCAGAATATATTCAATTTATTTAAAATTTCATACACGACAACAAAGATAAAACATTTGCTGTAATCTTCACCACGACATTAAGATTAACTTTTTTCGTAATGGTTCTACTCCTGATTTGTATTGTTTGAATGGGTTTTTGAGCATGAATGTCGTTCTAACGTTATGTTCAAATAAACGTGGAAAAGCACCGTGTACCTGCAGACTTATTGTCCCCCGCTTTCGCGAAAGCGAGGGGACATTAAATCTCATTCGTCTGTCCGTCAGTCTGTCAGTCTGTCAGTCTGTCCGTCTGTCAGTCTGTCAGTCTGTCCGTCACAAAAACTTTAACCTTGCCCATAACTTTTGATTTAGTAGAGCTATGACTTTCATATTTCACATGTGTATTCCTTGTGACAAGACCTTTCTTTGGGTACCACCAAATTTGACCTTTTGACCTTGACCTTGGAGTTTGACCCACTTTTACACAGAAATTTCAACTTTTTACTTTGGCCATAACTTTTGAATGAAAGGTACAAGGACTTTCATATTTCACAAATGTCTTGTTTGTGACAAGACCTTTCATTGGATGCCAACAACCTTGACCTTTTGACCTTGACCTTGGAGATTTTCGTACTTATGAAAAAACGTTAACCTTGACCATAAGTTTTGAACGGTGAGGACTAAGGCTTTCGTACTTCACATATTTAATCCTTGTGAAAAGACCTTTTATTGGATACCAAGAACTTTTACCCTTTAACCTTGACATTGGAGTTTTAACTACTTTTTAAAAACTTTAACCTTGGTCACAACTTTTAAACAGTAGATACTAGGACTTTTATATTTCACATATGTATTCCTTGTTGCAAGACATTTCATTGGATACCAACAACCTTGACCTTTTGACCTTGACCTTGGAGATTTACATACTTATGAAAAAACTTTAACCTTGACCATAACTTTTGAACAGTAAGGGCTACGGCTTTCGTACTTCACATATGTAATCTTTTTGAGAAGACCTTTCATTGGATACCAACAACTTTTACCCTTTGACCTTGACATTGGAGTTTTAACTACTTTAAAAAAAAACTTTAACTTTGGTCACAACTTTTGAATGGTAGATACTAGGACTTTTATATTTCACGTATGTATTCTTTGTGGCAAGTCCTTTCATTGGATATCAACAACTTCGACCTTTTGACCTTGATGTTAAAGATTTATATACTTATGTAAAAACTTTAACCTTGACCACAACTTTTGAACGGTAAGGGCTAGGGCTTTCATACTTCACATATGTAATCCTTGTGAGAAAACCTTTCATCAACAACTTTGACCCTTTGATCTTGACCTTGGAGTTGACCTACTTTTAAAAAACGTTAACTTTGGCCATAACTTTTTAACGGTCAGGATAAGGGTTTTCATCCTTCAAAAAAATCAACTTCAATGATAATTTCTAAGAAATGACATATGATAGGATATTCATATTAGACACAATGTGTCATAAAAAATAACATCTCACCAACAAAGACACCGAAAGCGGGGGACCACAATTCTTTGAATTTGCTTGTTAACTTTTCATTCATCTCAACTATTTTGATTTCTTATAAATATATTTTTATCAATGGGCAAATATTTCTTACATGTACATAATTATTTGAAATTTATTTGATTGTGGACATAAGAGAAACTGGAACATTAAAAAAACGGGAAGTAGGTTGAAATTATTTTTGTATTCTTCTGTTATAAACGCAAAGTAATATTATAGTTACACATGAAAATAATTATCTTTTATAGGAAGAGCATTGTATTGAAAACAAATAAGTGTAGTGACCAATAGGTCAACAATCTAGATGCTCCTCTTCACTTTTGTATTTTTGTGGGTTTTTTTTCATTAACGCCGATGCTAATTATATATATACATATTCATATGTATACGTATATATTTTATACATATTGAGGTTTTGATATTACACTTTTATATTTTGCAAATTTGATTTACATGTACATGTACGTATGTATCAATTTTTCTTTCAAATATTTCATCTGCTTTATAAATCAGTTTGAATTAATTTTACATAAAAATTTTAATTTATTTTAGATGGCACTAATGGGCTTCTGTATGAAATAATGTAGTCCAAGAAAAAAAATTCTGTATGTGTTGAAATGTTCAGTTCTGAAAGACTTGTATGTGAAACAGTTTTTATAAACCTTTCAGAAATACTACATGACAAAGAAAACTGATAATAATACTGGAAAATAATTCTATTTAATGATATTCAGCATTTTGTCATTGAAATGATTTTTTCTGAGTTTACACATTTTTTAGATTGAAAGCAAGTTGATTCTGTTTCAATACTTACATTAGCATATAGTATGAGAAATTGTAACAGCGTAGCTTTATAACAGGTTGACATTTCATCTCATTGCGTTTATCATGTTTGTTACAAACATTTTAGTCTAAAAAAGAAATGAAAAATTATACATTTATTTGCATAAATATTCATAACTTAATATATGTATGTAACTTTTGTTACCATGTTCATGAAAGCATATAAATTTATAATGAGTTATAAAAATAGATTTTTTTTTTAAATCAAACGTGGCAATGCATAAAAAAGTAACTACGTAAATTCGTACCTGTCAATGTAGGCCATGTTTACAAACAAAGTACGGTCCATTTAAAACTTGGATTGGGATACAGACATGACTAGGTTTCGAAGGAACTTCCAACAGGAACAGCAGTAATGAGTTAAAGTTTTTTGCAATGTAGCGTGCGTGAGGGTGTGTGTATGAATGCGTATGTGAGCACTCATATCTAAATATACATTGTAAATACATGTATATACTCTGTTCATTGTATTGTAACCTTGACCTGTTGTATAGAGAGGGTATTTATATAGGCTCAAGCCTGTTTCCCAATCTATTCAGTTAACTGAATAAATATTGTTTAATTCAAAATGTAAAAAAAAAATAATAATTTTTCCATTGAAACTGTTTTTGATTCCTTTTTGATTTTTTGAAGTTAATATTGAAAATTTTGTATAATCTTTTATTTCTATGAGCAAATTTAGAAAATGTGAAGCTTGATATCAATATCTTATATGTTAAAAAACACAATGTCTAGCAAGTTTTTACGCTAATATGTTAAATTTGAAATCCTTTAATTGTTTTAATGATTATTAAATTCATTTCTTAATTTGCAAAATATTTGTAACAATCACTATTGCACTTGTGTATATAATTTGTATTTCCCGCGTATTGTCCCTATGCTTATTTTACCCATAAGTCCTTGCAAAATAGCTAAGCCGACCAGAACAATTGAGGTCTGGTCATTCCCAGTAGAGAAACGTAGCTGCAGACATGTTTTTAAGCAGCTAATATATGTACATAGCAGCAGTTAATGCAATATTTTGACACTGGCACGGAGACAGGTCCGTGGACAGTATTTACATATATATTATTCGCTTTGTTTATTATTTTTTAAGGAAAGTTCATTATTGAATACAATTTCGTTCTTATTATATTCTCCCTCACTTCGTTCGTCCGAATATAAATTAATTATACTCTTTATTCTGTATTGAAAGAATAATCAACTCATATGTATGGAATGCTGCTCGTCAGAACGGAATGCTGCTCGTCAGAACGTTTATTACAATTCTAACACATTTGTATTTATTTCAACACCCATTATTTTTAATCATTAAATAATATTGATAAATACATACATATATGTGTGTGTGTGCCTAATTTACTGGTTTCCATTCCTTACAACGTTCTGTACGAGCGGTAGAATAACTTTTAAAGCACGCACCTGCTATTTATATGACCATATCACGTGACATAAAAACCACACAGATCCACCACTCTGTTCACACAGGAAATACCCATAACGACAATAATAATAATTATATTCTCCCTCACTTCGTTCGTCCGAATATAAATTAATTATACTCTTTATTCTGTATTGAAAGAATAATCAACTCATATGTATGGAATGCTGCTCGTCAGAACGTAGAACAATCAAAGAGAAAATTGTAAAAAATAATAATACCTGTCTACACACACACTATATATATGCATATATATTTATTAATATATATTCATTTATATTTACACGAAAAAGACTATTAGACACTTTCAATTTGTTATCTATACAATCCTTAATATAATTGTCTCTGGAATAGTCAGATTTCCAACGTCCATATATTTTGATCAGACGCTCCGACACATTTTTCTCGGCTGCAGTTGTTGCCCCTCCACTTCGCAGACTGTGCAAACCAAAGCCTTTTGAATCTATTCCCACTTTTTCCAAAGCTTCTAACAATAACTCTCGGGCTCTTGTATATGAAATCGGCTTGTTAATACCGCACAACATATATTTTCCACATGACTTGTAAAATCTAATTGCTCTGAAAACATATTCCTCTGGTTTATCCTGAATTTCAGCTAGATTTAAATAATGCTTAATCCAAGATACAGGACACAGCTTCCCTCCTGCCTCTGCCAATGTCACTTCGTTACCACGCCTGTATACGTCAGTTTTGCTGGATTCGATGCAAACATTCATGTATAAATTCTTGAAAATTATATTTTTCACTTTAATATTAGATAATTCACTAAATCGCAAAAAACCTGCTCAACAACAACATAGCCACTGTTCTCACACTTCGTAAATCACAATTTTGCTCCCGTTCCCCATATACATTTATAATCTTCTCTAATACATCTGGCGAAATTGGTTCCTTCTTCTTTATGGGCTTTGATAAAATTCGTTTCCCCCCTCCATTAAACTATGAATAACACTGTCGTCACAAGGATTAGAAAACGCACAATGAAGATCATGATACCACTTTATACTATAGAAAAATGAACACAGAACTGCTTCAGAAACTCCTTGTTGAATTAATCCACTTAAGAAAATGGCAATCACACTAGATTTTGCGGGAAAACTTGCGACATCTTTGGAAATACACCACTGCGTAAATTTCTTGAAATACGTTTCATACTGCTTGACTGTGTTTTTACTTTTTGCACTTTTCATGATGTGGAATATTGAGGAATCTGCCGATTTAAACTGCTCTTTCGTTGACATGTCTTTAATTTCCGCCCAAGTATCATTAAAAATCTGTGAATAAACAGCAAAAATATAACAACACACACACTTACATATTTAAACTGCTATTATTATATTTTTCTGAAATCAATTCTAACAACCAAAACGTTGCTCAAAAACATATCTTGAGCAAATATACTCGACTTGTCTGATCCTGACATAAAAAATTTTCTTGGGTTCTTATATTCAACATATTCTTTTATATAAGATTTGTAAGATGTTGTACTTTTATCCCATATCATTGGCCAAAATAAAGCAGACAACCATTTAGGAATGATTAAAGTTCCATATGCATTACACAAACGCAAATGTTTTATCACTTTGCCTATAAGGAAAGGAGGAGGTACTATCCAACAATTTTCTCCTGACCAATCATAAGCGAAAGCGTCAACTCCTGTAGTGCCTGGATTCCAATATTTCGAATAAAACCTTTTAACTTTGTTATTCTTACAATTTGCAAAAAGATCAATTGTAAAAGGACCCCATATTCTATCAAAATATCGGAAAATGTGTTCAGACACACTCCAATCATCACTGTCAAACATACGACTGTAACTATCTGCATCCATGTTGAATTCTCTTGGTATCCACTGTACTTCAAGTAAAATACTGTATTGCACACAGACACCAAATATACTCAATGCCAGCTGATGCAGCTCGTCAACCATACTACCTTTACATGCGATGCGCACGACATTTTGATTATCTGTAAATATTTTCACAAACCTTCCACTCAACACATCTGCCAGACTTGTTAAAATTATTTGTACTGACTTTAATTCTCTCCAAGTTGAACTTTTACTTTTTTCACACTGATCCCACATGTAATGAACTATTTTCTTATTCCTTTCACATGTAAACCCTGCGCCTGCATGAGAACTTGCATCCGAAAAAATAATTTTCTCTGGTGTCTTATCAATACATGTAAAATATTTGCAAGGGAGCTTACTGATATTGTAATGCCAAAACTCCAACTCTTGAATATTCCCATTGTCTATATACAAAATTTCATCCCAGCCAGTTTTAGAGCAAATTGTAATACTGAGACGTCTAGTCATTAACTGACATATATTTCCCAAAGATGGTTTTAATGCGATAATTTTTCCCACAACAGAAGATAATTTTCTCGCCGAAATATTGTTTTTATTCTCTAAAAGTTCTTTTAATAAAGATTTAATATTACTAATTTTTTCCAAAGGAACTTCTAGCGTCCCGCTTTCCAAATTCCACAAAAACCCTAACCACACCATACTCTGAGTAGGCTCAAGTACTGACTTCTCTGTATTTATAACAAAACCTGATCTCTGTAACGTGTCTTGTATTATGTCTGATGCAGACTTGCACTTCTCGTACGTATCACAAACCCAACCATCGTCCAAGTATACTACCACAGGTATACCACATGATCTCCAATATTTCACTAAAACTCTCACTACTTTTGTAAAAACATGCCCTGCTGAAGATAAACCAAAAGGTAACACATTAAATTCGAAAAATCTGAATTTGTCACCATATTTCCAAGAAAAACCTAAATATTTGTGAAAATCTGGATGTATATCAATATGGTGATAACCTGATTTTAAATCAAACTTAATCATATGCATTCCCTGTTTTGCATATTGTAAAGCCTCACTCACCCCTTCAAACTTCACCTTTTGTTTTTCTACAAATTGATTTACATGTCGAAGATCTAACACCAACCTTTTCTTACCTGTGCTGTTCACTGAAACAGTAAGTGGATTAACAACATGTATTTTTTCTTCAGATATTTCGTGAATACAACCAGAATTTAAAAGATCATTGATGGCTGTACAAACAAAATCACTGTGAATATGAGCCGACTTATTATTTTTTAAAACGACCTTAGGCGGCAATTGAATAAATGGAATTACATAACCAAACTGAATAGTATTTTTAACAAATATGTTTGAAGACAATTCACTCTTCCAAAATTGTAAACAATTTTTTAACCGAAACTTTACTGAAATCTTCGAACACGTGTTTAACTCATATTCATAAGAATCACCCATACAGCCTTCATTTTCACTATACTCAACTTGTTCTCTACTACTGCTTGTTGGCGTTGTTGCTAGAGGCCGATGCGACCGTGGAAGCTGACACTGGAACTTGTTGTCCTCTGGCAAATGGGCAGTCCCTGACGTAATGTCCGACCTGTCTGCAGAAAAAGCACTTCCGTTCAAAGTTCTGTTGACCTGCGCCGTATTCGATTGGTTTGGCGAATTGCTTGTACCCCCCTGTAGCAAACGTTTGGCCGAAAGTGCGAAAAAAGTCGTTGGCAGCAAATGCATTCTGTCTACGGTTTTGCATGGGATATGTATATGGCTTCCCTCTGTAATTACGCTTACGAACAGCACGGGTAACAGCGCCCCGTAACTTAACAGCGTCGTCATTGTTGTCTGCTAATGGATCGTCTAAATATTCGTTGACAGTATCCCACCCGTGCCTGTCTGCTATTTTTAGAATCTTGTTTCGTTGTCGCAACTCGCCGATTTCTTTCTCAATTGTCAGTGCCGCATTCTCCAAATCTTTCTTCTCTATAAAGTTTTTTGTTTCAATCAACTTCTCTATTCTCTCTGTATTAAAGGTATGCTGAATGCGATGTCCCTCGTGTTTGAAATCGAATGAGTTATGTTTAGTATCCTCCCGTGCGCTATCCTCGTGCCCGGTATTCGTGGCGGGATTATTAGGTTTACTGTTAATTTGCTTCACAATAGAACTCACAATGACCTCATTCTGCTGTTGCAAAGCTTTTCTCAATGAACTATTAAATAAAGATACTGCATCCTCGTTAGACAATTGTTCACTAGTACTAGACTCGCCCAATAAAACTTCTTCAGAATAGTGCACATCTGAACTCGCTGTACTGGTTTCCATTCCTTACAACGTTCTGTACGAGCGGTAGAATAACTTTTAAAGCACGCACCTGCTATTTATATGACCATATCACGTGACATAAAAACCACACAGATCCACCACTCTGTTCACACAGGAAATACCCATAACGACAATAATAATAATTTCTGAACTTTGCCAGCTCTTACCATTTTACCTGTTGTTCACTCAGGTGTGACGGTTAGCGAGAGTGTTCGAGTGGCTGTTGTATTATATCGATAACGTTTAAAGGTACTTGGATACAGATTTGAAGTTATTATTTTCTCTATAATATTACGACTTATATATTTTAACAGCATTTCACACAAAAATTAATTAAAAATCTTATTTCGTTTAAAAGATATTGAAATTTCAAATTCTTCGGCGGGTTTGATTGACATATCCTTGCACTCTCACAAATTTAATTTTATTCTTAATCCTTAGGAAAAGTGGCAATCTCGTTTTGTATAAATGAAAAATATTAATACTATAATCCAGAAAATTTAGAGTAGACACGTTCGAAAGCAAAACAAACACACAATATATTGTCAGTCCGTGCAGTAGTGGTAAGCATACTGTGACGATTGAACGCACCCGGTGAATTCTAAATATAAACAATAACAGAACTCGAGCCCTGTTTACAAAAACTGTGTACATAACACGAGTGTGCTCGATTTGCTAAACTCATCTCTTAGTTCGGAATGACGATACTTGTGAAGGTGTTTTGCTTTCTAACATTTCTACTCTGAATAAAATTATTTTTCTTGATAAAAGTTTTAATATTTCTCATTAAAACACATCAAAATTGCCACTTTTCCTAAGGATTAAGAATAAAGTTAAAATTTGTGAAAGTGCAAGGATGTGTCAATCAAACCCGCCAAAAAATTTAAAGTTTTAATAACTTTTAAATGAAGTAAGATTTTTAATTAATTTTTGTGTGAAATGCTATTAAAATATATAATTCGTGATATTATACAAAAAAAATGAGAAAATATTAACTTCAAATCTGTGTCCAAGTACCTTTAAAGTTCGTATTGTTAAATGTTCGCTATTTTCTTGTACTCAGTTTTGTTACTTTGTGTAAAATATTTTGTCCATTTACATTTTGGTTTAAATGTCTGGGCGGACGTGAATGACCGGAAGTTGAAAGTAAGGTGCACCATATTGGCAACAATTTGTTTTGATTTATGTTAACTGGTAACCATTACACTTAATACTTTTTGATTATTTTATATTGAGAATGTATTGCCAAACATATGTAGTGAAATATGTGACTTATTGATATGCATTGTTGTAGCGTCAAGGATATTGGTAATGGATATTGGGTACATGCACTAAGCTGAAGGGATCGTCTGATCGTGGTGACACGGCGAAACATTGCAGGACTAAAGCCCGGAAGGATGCTGTGTGTGTGATTAAGACTCGCTGATGGTGGACAGACACAGATAAGTCAAACCACGTGTAACATTGTGATAGTTCGTTAGATGAACACTAGTGGGGCCAAAATGGCCGACCAAAGTTTTACATAGGAATATATAGGAAAAATCTTTAAAAATCTTCTTCTCAAGAACCACTGGGCCAGGAAAGATGAAACTCATGTGGAATCATCCTCAGGTAGTGTAGATTCAAGTTTGTTCAAATTATGACCCCCGGGGCAAGGGTGGGGCCAAAATGGCCGACCCAAGTTTTACATAGGAATATATAGGAAAAATCTTTAAAAAATATTCTTCTCCAGAACCACTAGGCCAGGAAAGATGAAACTCATGTGGAATCATCCTCAGGTAGTGTAGATTCAAGTTTGTTCAAATCATGACCCCCGGGGCAAGGGTGGGGCCAAAATGGCCGACCCAAGTTTTACATAGGAATATATAGGAAAAATCTTTTAAAAAATCTTCCTCTCAAGAACCACTGGGCCAGGAAAGATGAAACTCATGTGGAATCATCCTCAGGTAGTGTAGATTCAAGTTTGTTCAAATTATGACCCCCGGGGCAAGGGTGGGCCCAAAATGGCCGACCCAAGTTTTACATAGGAATATATAGGAAAAATCTTTTAAAAATATTCTTCTCCAGAACCACTGGGCCAGGAAAGATGAAACTCATGTGGAATCATCCTCAGGTAGTGTAGATTCAAGTTTGTTCAAATCATGACCCCCGGGGCAAGGGTGGGGCCAAAATGGCCGACCCAAGTTTTACATAGGAATATATAGGAAAAATCTTTTAAAAAATCTTCCTCTCAAGAACCACTGGGCCAGGAAAGATGAAACTCATGTGGAATCATCCTCAGGTAGTGTAGATTCAAGTTTGTTTAAATCATGACCCCCGGGGCCAGGGTGGGGCCAAAATGGCCGACCCAAGTTTTACATAGGAATATATAGGAAATATCTTTAAAAATCCTTCTCAAGAACCACTGGGCCATGAAGATGAAACTCATGTGGAATCATCCTCAGGTAGTGTAGATTCAATTTTGTTCAAATCATGATCCCCGGGGCTAGGATGGGGCCAAAATGGCCGACCCAAGTTTTACATAGGGATATATAGGGAGACCTTTTAAAATCTTCTTTTCAAGTACTTCAAAGCTATGATTAGTGATATTTATATGGAATCATCCTCAGGTAGTGTTGATTCTAGTTTGTTCAAATTATGAAAGCCTGGAAGGGGGGGGGGTTAAATTCAAGCCCGATGTGCTCAGGTGAGCGCTGTGGCCCCTGGGCCTCTTGTTCTATTTCTTACACCTTGGTTTTTATTCATTCTTGCACTGGTACCATTACGGAGATATTAAGAAGTTGAAGTACCCTACCAAAATAAAAAGTCGAAGAGGGCAACAATTTGCAGCTAGGCCTAGCCTGATGTAACTGGTGGCACAGAAAACGTTAACCTCTCATGTCAACTGATTCCACCTCTGATGCCCAAAGAAGCCCGTAGTTGCTCTGCTCTGGATTTGCATTATTCCAGCGGGTCTTTTAGTTAACATGGTTTCTGTTGAACTTTACATTTCATGCATTTATTGGGGAATTATTCGCAATTGATCATTGTAAATGAACAAAAAAGAACCTACACTTGTGTAATAAAATAAGTGTATATAACGAGCAGTGATCTATAAATTATATGAAAATCAATGCTCAGTTCAAAGGCGAGAGCTCAAGAGAATGACATAAAGAAGAATATCAGCAGTCTCGTTTAAAATCATCATTTCGTAAGTTTTATGGTCAATACAATGTCTTTGTCAGCAAATGCAATTTATCATAGATTCAAATGCTGAATGACGTTTTTCATACTAATTGTTAGACCTATTTTTACACTGAATTTACGACGGTGTTTTCCCTTTATTTCCCGCTCATGACAAGGAACATACAGCGGGTGTGACTGGTCGGTAGGAGATGCTCACTCCTCCATGGCACTTGATCCCACCTCTGATGTTTTGGAGGTCTGTGTTTGCACTGCTCCTATTTTGTATTGTTTTATGGACTTTGAGATTGAATACTGTTTGTTATCTCCATATCCTTTATGTAGATTTCATATTTTCATTTTTGATTCTCCGAAACTCGATCTAACCGAGGATGTGAATCCACTGGCAAAACCATGGTAAATATGAACTGGGGGCATTAACATATAAGCGTATATTGCACCTGCTGAATTCCGATGGAGCTTTTGTGTGACATAATAGCTAGCTCATACCTAGACTTCTAACTCATAATTTCAAAACATATATTGTAGAAATCTTTCAAATGTAGGAAACTAATGAACACAAATAATGTAGAAATACAAAAATCATTGTCAAAATTTATTTTACAGTATTTTCAAAACTGTCTGTCCCTCTTGAATCCTCTATTTCTTTTTCTTTATATCCTTGTCTTTTTTGTTTAATTTTGACTGTTATTCTTGTTTGTATATTTGTACATCTTGTACCAGTGATCTGGTTTTCAGAGAATCAAGTATTGAATAAATTGTGATTCACGTTTTGCAACATTTCTTAATTACGCAAATGGTTCTGTACAAGTAATTTAAATTTTGAAGTTTAAGGTCTGATTTCCCTTAATGTAAACTTAAATAAATTGACAAATCAATCTGTTGATGTCACTCAGTTCTCCGAATTCCTGCATTACCTGGATTTTTTTTCAGACGTTGTTGTAGGTTTTTCCACGACTTGAATGTACTATTAAATTTATGCTTGCAAAGCTCTCAATACTTCATTTTTAATTGATTTAAAAATATAAATAACCGGAAATCTATTTCCTAAATAAACAATGTATATTCTTCCTTGTTTTTTAATTGATATTTCGAATAAATACATCATTATTTGATTTGCAGAATGCATTGGCATTATGAACATGAGAATCTTTAACTTTATATGTGTTTTTCTTATTGGATCGGTCTATTCTACTATATGTACAAAGTAAGACATGAAAAATTTATTTTTAGTTCTCTTTAAGCATTAATTGTTTAAAAAAAAACTATACTTTGATTATGCTAGAGCTTAATCATTAAATTTTTTTTTCCTGGTCTTTCTGTCCGACCATCTGTCACACTTTCTTCTGCCTCTATATTTTCTTTTTCTTAAAGAAGAATCCAAGAATAAGTTATGGTTTTAACTTGTTAGTGCCCTAAAAATTCAGTGTTTTCAAAAAGTTTTGAAATTGGCTTAAATATTAGTCAAGTTAATGACTGTGATAGATCAGAAAAGAACATGGAATATAGGAATACCATATTGGAAATATGACGTCATTAATTTGATGCATTTCTCCACTTTAAACAGAAAAAGCCTGAAAATGACTCATTTCAAGGGTAATTTTCCTTCAGAACATAGTGTCCACGGCCGTCGCCCACTTCACTTTTTGGATATGTTATGCAAAATACAACGAAAAATCACATACATGTATCTCAAAATCTTTGTGGGCGATGCCTGTGTACATACTTATCTGAAAGGAAATCTATTGAAAATTGTTGTCTTCTGTCACTTTTTAAGAAAATACGGGAAAATGCACATGTTTATGACGTCACAATTAGAAAAATAATTTATAGGATTTTTCTACATTGAATTTCAATGATTCAGAAACCATTAATTTTCATCTTTTACTTAACTTTCATCTTTAATGAAATCACAGGTCAAGATTTGTATTGAAATTATACCTTGCTCTTTATCTTTTAGAATACAAAAATTGTTGTCCTATAGATATTAAGATTTTGGAATTTTTAATTTTACCCTTGTTGCAAAACGCGGGTAAATAAGACGATTTCTATTTTTAACTTTTAACCATGAACTCATCTTACATTTTACCCATAAGCCTAATCATGTTTTCAAGATACATTCTGTAGATGTCCCATACGGTTTTGCAATTTTTGGAACATCCTTAGAGTCGAATGAAGGTGAGGAAAGTGATATTTCTCAACGAAATTATCCTGGTTCTTAGAATCCTTTCGGAGTTCGATTTTGTACAATAGCCTATTCATCTTTTTTGGAGATTTGTCGGTGCTGTACATGTAGATGGTAAAAACGTTTTGGGATTTTCATTATCATTTTTGCGGGGCAAATGGGGTCAAAACATGTTTTTGTACAAAAATACCCTTGTACTTCTTACATTTTACCAAATAGGATAATCATCTCATTGAAAATGATTTTGTCCTGTAGATTTGCAATAAGGTGTCAGATTTTTTTTTTTTTAAGACTTCGGGTAAAATTGGGGGGGGGGGGGGGCTTGTCGCAGGAATGTCGTTTTTTTTTTTTTTTTTTTTTTTTTTTTTTTGTTTTTTTTTTTTTGCTACAAAAATTTGGCTAGATTACTCCTAGTACTAAAATGTCCTTTAGACTGATAATGGTTTCTTTTCGTTGAATAAAACATATGGAGATAACAAACAGTATTCAAGATCAGAAGTCAATAAAACAATACAAAATAGGAGCAGAGCAAACACGGACCCCCAAAACATCATGCAGAGGTGGGATCAGGTGCCTAGAGGAGTTAGCATCCCCTGCCCCCTTGATACCGGTCACACCCGCCGTGTGCTCCTTGCTCCTTGCTCGGGATATAATGGGAAAATCTGTCATCAATTCAGTGTATTAATAATGGCTTAACAATTAGTATGAAAAATGTCAGTCAGCACTTGACTCAATGATAATCTGTATCTGGTGACAAGGTCATTGTTTCGACCAAAGAACCTATAAAATGATGACTTTAAACGAGATTGCTGATATTCTTGTTTGTCAGTAATTTATCTCGTTTTAGAAATTGTTCAATGGGCCTTGACTTAAAATTATCGAGGAGTTAATGGCATACGAACGCCGTTTATAAAAATACAAAACAATATTTATATCCTTTTTCTGAACGATAATTTCAAAAAAAAACTTTGATTCTGATTTTTGATACTGATTACGTAAAATAAATATCGTATTGCTTAGTTTGGGATTCTTTTCTTTGGACCTTTTTATGTGTCAAAAAATATTTTTTTTTTTTTTTTTTTTTTTTATATGTTTCCATGTATTTTTTAAAATTAATTTTTTACTATATCATTTTCCCTTTTTTATATTTGAAGCATAGTTTATACACTCTTATATTCTCACTAAGCTCTATTCTTTCATTCTTTCACTGATCTGATATACAATTCATGTAAGTTAGCAAGTTAGTTTGTTTCTAGTGAGATAATAGATGATAGCATGCGATCCCATTTGTTACGTAAACGCACTCTTTTGTAGCAAAAAAGGTGAAAATTATTGCTGTTCTGGTTACATGTTGAACGTAGAATCAAACAAGTGTGAAAGTAAGTATTTCTTTTTATTACTATAATCCAATTTAAAAGATAAACTTTTGCAACCCCCGCTTATTGCTAGGAATTCTCCATGAACGGATTTCCCTCCGTGGTTAATACATTCGTTATATTGCCACCCCCGCTTATTGCCATCCGCCACTGGTTTGGGAAACAAAATGTGGAATTATATAAGGCAAAACCCTCGGTAACAATGCCAATTAACTAACGCGTGTCGGTAATTTTGACGTCACCCACCGTGCTTTGACAGTGTTTGCGGTGAAGCGTGACTGATTGAACTAAGGATTAAGATTAATTAAAGATAATCGTTTGAGAAAATTCAAAATAAGCAATCTCTTTGTTGTTGATTTTATAACATAGCAGTATTATTTCATCACAATAATAGAAAAGCAGGAAAGAGAAAAGTAATATTTAATTTAACTGATGAAAATCGCCGATTGCCTCTAAGAACGGATGATGCATCAAACCATAATTAGATGGGTTTTTAATCCCCTCTTGAAGCTATTCTACCGATCAAATGAAAACCCCATCTTTCTGTTTAGACTACTTTTTCTTCCGCATGTGAAAAATCATGAGATTTCGTACGTTACACATGATGCTGAAACAGTGCATCTAATATATTGTTGGTCACATAATGCATTGAGTGATAATTATCAAAACAAAAGAGAAAGTACTCTTGTTGTAGGAAGCATGAGAATAACGAGTTTTTGAAGATCTAGACCTGTACCCTGACAAGTGACTTTCCATTCATCAATTATGACTTAAACTACCGAACTTTTTAATTGATGCAGAAATTGGGGAATAATCTACTTTACCATTTAGCGTACATTGCCACTGTGTAACTTTAAAGTTTACAATTTTAAGATGTTAATTTTAAGTAACCTATTAACTAAAGACAACTATTCACGATGCACAGCTCTATTAAAAGAGAATCATTAGAGAATTCAAAGAAAGATATAATAAATTGGCATAAAATGAATGTTTTGATTTATAAATCAGAAATTCTTAATAAAAATTTCAATATTTTAAAGAATGTCCAAATGGATATACCGGAGCTGAATGCCTGTACAGATGTATTTATCCTGCCTTTGGAGAAGATTGTCTTCAAAAATGCAATTGTACCGAGGACATATGTGATTTTATCAATGGATGCCATTTTAAAAGTCTTCAACAAGGCAAATACATTTTTCCGATTTGATTTATCTACAATAATGAGCTACATATATTTATATCCAAATGTGAAAATTCTACCACGAATAGATGAAACTTTGAAAAATAAATATTTTATCCGTGAAAGAATATGTTTAAAATGTTACTTTATTTTTCTATACTTTCAAATTCTTAATTTAAGCTAACTATAGATTCATTATTTATATTCTGAAAATATGATTTGACTAATATTTATTATAGCTATTGTTTTTTTATAAGAAAAGTGAGTCAGTATAATATTCAACCAGTGAAGCATTATTCTAACTTGTTTTTGTTATCAATATAGAATTAACAACCAGAAGTCTAAGCACTGGCAATAAAATTTTGCGGGACATGCCCACCAGAGGAGAGAAACACATCTTTTCGAGCATTCCAAAGACAACAGCTGCTTCTATAAATACAAAGAAAATGGGTGGTAATACCATCGGTTCCTCGTCAAAATCGATTGTATTTTATACTACAATAGCGTTAATAATTACTTTTGTTATTGTTTTTCTATCCTATGGCATATTTCATTGTCGAAAGATTTCCCAGATAAGAAACAGGTTAGATGTACAATCATCATCGCCATACGAAAATTGATTCGTAGTCTTTAATTTCACCTCATGAATGAAAACGAGTTATTTCCCTTCTGCAGATCTTTATATCTACCTCAACGTCTACTTAGTTTACACAAATTGTCCGATGTTCGAATTAATGTTGCCATTGTATGATATACATGTATTTTAAAAAGTGACTGGGGGGACTGTTTGTATTAAAATAAAAAAATGTCGGGGAAAAAATTAGATCTTTAATTGATTTCTTCAAAGAGGTATTAAACATATTAATTTAGCATGCCTTATGTTAGTTAAGATGCATCATGCCATGTTCATATTAAACTGTTTAAATCTTCCGTCGAGGAGGTTCACGAGTAGATCTATAGCACAACCGGTTTGTGAAGCTCGTCGGGTCGACGTTTCATCTGTAGAAGAGTTGGAAAGTCTTCCCAGTGTATAAGGAAGAGGCGGAGTGTTTCACAACCTGTAAAATATTCTGCAGTAGTTGGGAAATTCTTTGAATCCATCGGACATGATAAAAAAAAACACACATTTTTATGGCAAAGTTTCTTAAAATCTTTCATCATTAAGTGTTTTAATTTTTGCAGTGATATTTAATGTTTGCTTTGTCAATAAACATGAAAAAACAAAACAATACTAATTGTTTTAATTCTTTTTTGTCTATTTTTTGTATTTAAATAAATTATACGAGGGTTGCTCGAAATGTTCGTGGAAGATGTCAATCTTCGTTATATTACTCGCTAGAAAATTTTAAAAAGCACAATATCATAGGCGAAAATATTTTATTTGTTGGTGTTTGAAGTTTCATTCCATTCGATTAAACAGAAATCAATTTACTTTATTTTAAAGTTCACATGTTATGTACCCGCGGAGCACACTCAGCGACAATGTAACGTCAAAACATAGCCTCAAGAATTTCTAAAAATACTATTTCCATACATTTTACACAATATAATCATATGCCTACTGTTCGTACTCCTATGGTTAATCACACTTAACCTCGGATAACGATCCAAATATTGTCGCAGCAAAAACACTTGCTAATGGGTTCACAATTTATTCAATAACAACAATATTGATGACGTAGTACACAGAATGACGTACAAGACAATATACGATATATCATAGAATTATCTTTCTTTGAATACAAATGTACATGAAATAAAGCCAATACACTACATCTACTCATTAAATCCTTTTTTCTAATACTTGGCATTTATTTTTAAGAGTTGCTCTCGTTGTATAATTTCCTTTGTTAAGCTTTTAATTCCTTTTATGACTTGACTCTGCTTTCACAGGATAAGCAACTTTGAAGCGTCTGTGTCTTTCTTTGACGTTCCAACTTTTTTTCAGATTTTTACAGTAACTGTTAAACCGTTTCTTCGGTTATAGTACTATAGTATAGTATTATAGCTTATAGTACTGAGGACAAAAGCATAGGCGAAATAATTTTTTAATCACGTTTACCACATGTTTAACTGCAAAGTGGACACCTGAATAGTCAGATTCTAGGGCAAGTGTCCGTTTATTTAACCCGCTGAAACACTTTTACTATATTTTTAGATATATTGATTAATAATTATATTTCAAACAGTTTGGCTCATTTATGTCTTTTTTCACACCTTATATTATTTAGTAAAAGTTACTTTCATGCATACGTCTAATCGAGTTATTCAATTGAACTTGAAAATAAAGGATCGTAATTCCAACTAGAATAAAATCACAGAACTACAGAAATGTTGTCAACAAAGAAACCTTTCAATATCAACGTCGGAGTACTTTTTTGTGAAAAATGTTAGATTTTCAACTATTTTGTTGATTATTAAATAACAAGATACGAAATATCTACCTTCAATTTTTATTAAAGAAGCTGTTTTTATGTCAGAAAACACTGTTTTTATAACTCGTGAAGAATGATTATATATGGTGTAGAAAATTAGCGCGTTTTTTCTTTCAGTAACTGAATGTAAGAAAATAACATTCTAAATTTTTAAACGGGTTCCATGGTTGATGAAAACCACATCTGCACAGCTTCTAAAATATTTTGTAACACATTGGTTCAAAAATTCTTTTCACAGGAGTTAACTGATAAACGTTTTAAACACTGAAATATGATTTTGAAGACTTTAATTTTTGAAAAATGAACTGAATGCACTGAAAAGATTTTTTTTTCTAAAATACATGACGTTATAATAATTATCTATTTCCCAAGCATGACAAGGAGCAAACGGCGGCAGGGGATGCTCACTCCTCCTGATCCCACCTCGGATGTTTTAGAGGTCCTTGTTTTCTCTGCTCCAATTATGTATTGTTTTATGGACTTTCGATATCGAATACTGATCGTTATCTTCATATGTTTCATCTTACAATTTTTTTTGTTTATGAATAAGTACACTTGTAGATTGACAAAACTGTGGGTAGGTGGAGGGGACACATTGTCACAATCTCAATATTTAATCACTATTTGCTATTCCTTCGGTCCCGCGGTTCAAAGGCGATAGCTCAAGGGAATTATATAAAGTATTATTTTAACTCCAAATAATGACGGATGCCAAGGCTTGATGTCTATTATCATATTTTTGTCTATGTTTCTTCTTCGAAGCTTAACTGCCAGAGGTTGTGAATCCACTGGCAAGCCAATGTAAATTTGAACAGGGGGTATTTACACGTAATATAAGCTTTAATTACTTACATAAATAGAAAGTAAAGAGGCTGAGTTAAAATATATCTCAAATTATTCCACATGCAAATATAGAGAAATTAAAAAATATTTTTCATCAACAAACTTTTCAGCATTGGAAAAAATATTTAAAAAAAATTTGTTGATTTCTAAACATATCAAAGATGGGAATAATGGACATGAATTATAATGATATTTTATACTTTTTATGATACACGAATCAAATTATTTTTCTATTTGTTTGTATTTTTCCCTACCTCTGTTATCAATGTTTGTACATCTATGAGAATTAAATCATTGTCAGTTCCAAAGAAGCTGCTGTATGACATAATAACTACATGTAGCTCATACTTGTAATTCATTTCATGCAAATTTTCTTAATTATGCAGATGGTTCTCTACATTTAATTCACAAATTCTGATTTAAAATGTGGTATTTTCTTTATTGTTAACTATTTAGAATTAACAAAGACTATCGCTATCAACCTTATGATGTCACTCTGTTCTCTGTAGTCCTGCATTGCACGAATTTATATCATACGTCAGTGGTGAAAGATTTTACCACCCTTTGAATCAATTATCAAAGTTTGCAAAGCTCTTAACACTACAAAGTTTTTTTATTGGGTTATAAACATTAATTACCGGAAATCCACTTCCTTAATCAAACATTTACATCCTTCCTTGCTTTTTAAATTTCTATTTCGATATTTTTTTCATTTAGTTAGTTTTCCTGTTTTATGAACATGAGTGTTTGCACTTTTATATGTGTATTTCTTTTTGGATCTGTGTATTCTAGTAGATGTTTAAAGTAAGATATGCAAAATTAAAATTTCTACTATTCACTTATTATTCTTTATTATGCCAAAAAATAGCAGTTATTCTATTTTTTTATTTTGATTGCAGCAGATTTTTCTAGAGAAAGGGGACATTGTTATCTTGGTCTGGTCGTCCGTCCAATACAAGTTTAAAAATTTTGGAAATTTCTATTTTACCCTGGGGCCAAAGGAAAATAAATCATTATGATGGATTTACTGTACAAAAATGTTCCCAGAATGGTTTTTTTTAACACTTTACGCAGGAGACAAATTGTCTTTTGAAAATTGATTGGTGATGTCTTGTTGGTCTAGATATGGTTTTGGAATTTTCATTTTTCATCCCGGTGGTCAACCTGGGGTCATAAAATGATGTTTTATTCAAAGAAAACTTAGTCCTTAGAATTTCTATTACATTTTTCAGTAAACGTTTTGAAAAAAATTGGAAAGAATAGATTATACGTAAAGGACAAAAGGTCAAATTTATTCGTGTGCAAAAATATGTGACATGAAATACATATAGAAACATAAAAATACAAGCTCTCTCTCCAAAAACATTTTGGCAAGCTTTTTGCGGATAAGATATACTTGTAAGCGAACACGCAGAATTCAATGCCCTGAATCTTTGAAATGAGGATATAAACCAATAAGTAATTTTTTTATTCTGATTACCTTTTTAAACTTAATAACTGTATCCCTTTTTTAACATAATTAAATGATGATGATGGTAAATTCTGTTGGAAAATTGCATTGTAAGCAGCACTTTCAAGGCTTACTATGAGAAATCAACAGAACTTAGACGTACAAAAACGTGAACTTTTTAAAACAGAATTTATTTTTTATAAAACTATTTAATTCTCAAATAACTTAAATACTTCTTAAAATAACATAATTTAACCCACTCTTTACTGAATAAAGTTCGATCCAATCGATGGACAGTCACGTGATAAATGTCAAGTTTGTGTATTATGCAGAATGTAGGTTATTAACAAATTTCAATATGGCAAGGGCGTAACCTAATTGAATTTTTAAAAAATTAAGCTTGGAATTGTTTCTGCATACTTTGTATTTTCTGGAAATTGCTGCTGCTTTAAATAGAATTCGTGTTTTATTAGTAAATATTTGAAGTAAATAGGTTAATGTTGAAACATATTTGACCGTTACCAAGTATTTTGTGTACTTGTAAAATCGCTGTTTCTATTTAAAGAAATCAGCAGCACATTTCAATTTAAGAAAAATATCCTTTATTTATTTTCAAAATTTTTTTAAGATCTACTGAGTGTATGCCCTTGCACAGGGGCGATTTAATAAGGCACCTCGATGCTAAACATGCCCAGTCTGTACTCATAAACACGGTATAATTAATTTTATCCTGTAACCACCCCTTGCATTGACCTAATAAAGGTAAACTAATAAACTAAAGCTTTATCTGGTCAGTGTCCTAATAAAGCCTCGTGTATGTATTCCGACGTTCTAAATGCATTGTGACGTCACGTATCTTACAATGTTAACGCTATGGCGTCTTAGTTTCCACTGCAGAGATGTGTCTAAATCGGGAAGAAAATAGTTCGTTTTGGAGGTCAGTTGAAAATATATTTTGCAGGATAAACAAAATATACATGGTTAAAGTCTTGAAATATAAGCGATATTGGGCTCGGGTCGAAAACGTGATGGAGATCTAGAGCTCGGCAAGCCTTGCCCTGTATCACGTTTTCTTAATACCCTCGCCCTAATATCGCTTATATTTCAAGACATAAACCATGTATTTTATATAAATATACTCTCTCACTAATTATTGAGTATTGAATAATTGTACTAAACAAACGTTTCATATTGGTATAAATAGTCTACCTAAAATCTGTAAGTAACATTCTGTTTATTAATGGAATGCATTTTTCACTTTGTCACTTTTACTTTGTCTACCTCTCACAGCACATGAAATACGTCATTTTTATGTTTTATGTTTATTCTTTGCGATCAGTGATTTGTTTATTACCTGTTATGTGGGATTTTCCCAGCTACTATTTTAAATGCATTGAAAAGTTTTAATGTTGTTAATTATGCTAATACAGTTTAAAGTTGCAAATTATTGCATTTCCCGCCAAAAAATCCCGGTATTATGAGGAAAACTATTTTGTATGATGTCGCAGTAATTTTTTCCCATATAGATTAGTCCCTTTTCCCTTTTTTCAGCCTTAACAGTGCTGCGTAATTGGTCATTTTAAAGGTAAACTAATAAACTAATAAAGGCGTAAGACGTAACTGGTAATTATGACGTTAAATTTTCAATCGTCAACTTCCCTTACTTATGCAGTAATATACCTTCATAACCTTAATACAGAGTTTATATCTCTCCGCTGATTCGATTTGCAAGAACATGCCCTACGTACGATTAATTTCTAAAACAAAATAGATTATTAACAAACAAGTTGATGAAAGATATGAAATATCAGCAGCCTCGTTTAAAGTCATCATTTCGTATGTTCTATGGTCGATACAATGACCTTATCAGCACATAAATATACTTTTTGTCACCCAAATTTTTCCCATAACTTGAAAACTTAAAATTTCATTCCATATTGTGTTTACATAAAATACCTTTTATTTGTCAACATGAGACAATCAGTTATGTTCTCCAGTGAGTCTGAGTTCATTTGCAATGAAAGACAGAACAACTTCTGTTTGTGAGAAAGGTCATTTATTCAATTTATCATAAAATATATTTGATCAAATGATGAAATTAATGTCAAACATTGATTAACCAAAATTAATTGAATAAATGACAATAAATTTGCAAAGGTGGGGTTAAAAAACCGCCAAACACAAGAAATACATGTACTAACATTATAACATAAGTAAAAAATAATGTAATACAATTATAATTTGAAACACGGGGTAAAAGATAAAATGATAAAAGTACAATTTGTAACACAGGTTTCATAGAATAACATATTCAAGTTGTGAAATGGAAAAAAAAATATAATAGTATACATGTAATCATAATAAATGTACAAGACAAAAACCCAAAAGGTATAAATTGTTTGTAATTTAGGACAACTGATTTTATATAGATAAATTTTTAGGGTGATGGTGGGTGGGTAAATTGAATTCTTGTAAAATTTTAGGTGCGTCCAGCAGCTCTTAAAACAAAAAAGTGAATAATTGAGATACCTTTGACCAAGATAAGATTTCAGTATAGGTTACTTCAATCTGATTGGATAATTAGTTAATTGTATTAATCACGATGGCTATTGCATACACAGTGTCCCTGCCATGCCAGGTTGCAAATTCCATCTGCTGACGCGTAATTATTCACCAGATGCCAATAATAAATGATACCCCCACCTACATGTCTGGTGGCTAATTTAAAGATCTTAATCATTTAGGTTATCAATGATGAGTATATAATTATAGCAACAGTATCTCATTACAAAATTTGCTGCCAAAAATGTTTTTATTTACAATAAAATAGGTTTTTTGTCACCCAAATTTTTCCCATAACTTGAAAACTTAAAATTTCATTCCATATTGTGTTTACATAAAATACCTTTTATTTGTCAACATGAGACAATCAGTTATGTTCTCCAGTGAGTCTGAGTTCATTTGCAATGAAAGACAGAACAACTTCTGTTTGTGAGAAAGGTCATTTATTCAATTTATCATAAAATATCTTTGATCAAATGATGAAATTAATGTCAAACATTGATTAACCAAAATTAATTGAATAAATGACAATAAATTTGCAAAGGTGGGGTTAAAAAACCGCCAAGACCGAAAGTGATAAACTTGAGAGACCCCACCCGAAGACTCAATGGAGATCAGGAACAAAAAGCAAAAATAAAAAAAAAAAATACAAAATAAAAATACACATGTGTAAATGACAAAAAATATACAATACACTACCTATTTAAATACAGAATTTTTTTATAAATGTGTAAGGCACGCAAAGTGATGGGCAGAATTTTTTGTAACTAACTTATTATTAAAAATAGAGCAAGCCTTGTTGACCTCTATTGTGATGACATTATACCCTAAGGAAAAGTCAGGCCACATAAAGTTATATTTTAAAATTTTGATAAAATATTAAAAGAAATCAATAGTAGTATATTTGTAGATATACAAAAGTATGTTTAGAGCAAGCTTTATTAACTTCTGTCTAGTATATAAAATTATGTACAAGTACAGTATAATGTACTGATGTATAGAGCAAGCCATGTTGACCTCTACCTAGTACATAAAAATATCTATAGAGCAAGCCTTGTTGTCCTCTATTTAGTAAAGAATAACATAAGTTTTAGAGCAAGCCATGTTGACCTCTACATCTTATAAAATATGTCAGAGCAATCCATGTTGACCTCTGACATGCCTATAACCAAACTAACTATGGATTATTTTTATTAGAAATTGTTCATTCGAATGTAGTTTTTGAATGCATTAGATTTCCATCTTCCCATTTGCTGAATGACAGGCAGGGCAGTGCCTTCAGCTGCAGCGCTTGTTGCTGCACCTATTCTGAAACTGTGACCTTTGTATAATTGTGCACTTAATCCTATGAAATTCAAAAGAGACTTGAGGGATGAAGTAAAATATGCATATGATACTGGAGTACCACATGTAAATTGGAACAAAGGTCCTGTATTGTGTTTTGCAATGTTTAAGTAATTAAGCATAGCGTTTACTGGACACATCTGATTGTTACAATTTTTGGGGATAAATATTGATTTAGTCTGAGAATTGCTGTGTTTGTAATATTGCATTTTTACTGTCATTCCTGTTGCAATTTGCATAGAATAATCAAACTGCAGATCTGACAACTGCAGAACCTTATTCCTATCAGAGCTAGATTTTAGTGCCATTTCCCCGACTCTTAAAAAACAGTAAAAAGCCAAAGACATCATTTACTTTAACAATAATTGATTGTACAGGCCATGAACGACAAACTCTGTTGCTGAGATAAGTTTGGAAAGTATTTCCTTTGTAATTGGCAATCGGCTATCACAGGATCCCCTGAGATTTTGTACTCCTTTTAAAACTTTTTTAATGAAGAATGAATCTGTTGGGTCCTGTTTGAAGTTAATTTTGTGCACGTAACTGATCGCTGACACGAAAGATGCAATTGTAGAGGGTTGATAATTTTTTATGAATAAGTAAGAGATAAAATGAGCAATCATAATGTGAGTAGAAGGCAGCACGGATGACTGTGGGAAATGTTCCTGACAGAATTGTTCATAGCAGTTGAGCATGCGTTGATAAGAAGCTCTTGTGGAGTTTGATAGTGATGCCTGCAGAAGCTTGTTTGTTACAGTGTCAAGAGATGTTGCGGAACCGTTACTGGATTTTTGTTTAACCAGGGAGCCATGCGATGTGCTTCCTGAAAGGAAAATCGAGAGAGAAGATCAGCTATAACATTTGTTTTCCCCGCAATATGCTTAGCTCTGAAATGAACATTAAATCTCATTGATGCTATGACTAATCTACGAACTAACTTCATCAATGTTTTGTCTTTGGAGGTGGTGGAATTAACGATTGCAGCTACTGCTTGATTATCAGTCATAAACAAAACTCTGTGATTTGACATAGCTGCTCCCCAAACTTCTAGTGCTAACACAATTGGGTATAATTCTTTTACAGTTATGTGTAAATCTTTCATATCAGTAGACCATTCACCAGTGAACCACCTACAACCAAACACTGCTGCATAACCCCCATGCACACCCGCTGAATCTGTGTATAATTTTATGACATCGGATGAAATCCATTTTGAATACAGAAAACAAGATTTTCCATTGTAGTTGCAGACAAACTCGTACCAGGCTTGCAAATCTGCCCTAGCTTCTGAATTTAGGGTAATCTTAAAATGAGGACAGTTGTGACCTATAGTAAGATCATACAATCTCCTTAAAAATGCCCTTCCTGGGATAATCACACTACAAGCGAAATTCAGTAAGCCTAGCAATTACTGCATTTCACGTAAAGTAACCTTTCTCCTGACCTTAAACTACTGAAGTAACTGTAATATTTTCTCTATCTTCTCATTGGGTAAGCATGCTTCCATGACATTTGAATCTATTTCAATTCCATAAATTACAATGCAAGTAGATGGTCTTTGTGTTTTTTTTCTCTTAGGGACCCCTAAAGCATCTGCTAAATTTAAGAATGTATTTAGTGCTGTTGAACATTCCACAGAATTAGCTCTCCCCACAAAGAAGAAATCATCTAACAAATGTGAAACACCTTGTATGTGAAATTTGTTATTTAAAATCCACTGAACTGCTGTTGAAAAACTCTCAAAAAGCTGACAAGATGCTGAGGCACCCATTGGTAAGGAAGCATCATAATAAAACTGATCCTCCCAACAAAAACCTAGCAAATGGTACTCTGATGGATGAATAGGAATCAGACGGAAAGCATCTTGTATGTCTGCTTTGCTCATTAAACAATTAACGCCACATTTTTGAACCAACTCTATGACTGTTTCTATATTTTGATATGAGACACTAGTGAATTCAGGAGGGGTCCAAGAATTAACTGAATCACCTTTAGGAAATGACAGATCGTGAATTAAACGAAAAGATCCAGCTTCTTTTTTAGGAATTACACCTAGAGGAGAGCATATAAAGTTTTTAAATGGTGGTTGACTAAATGGTCCCTTTATTCGGTTTTTATCAATTTCTTTTTGCAATTTTTCCCTAACAATTTCACAGTTTTCCCTAGCACTCCTATGATTTCTAGGATATTGTTGATTTTCTTTTACTATATTTGAATTGATTTTAAAGCCATATGTAAATCCTTGGATCAGTTTTGATTTTGCTAGAGTGTCATATCCTTTTAAGAATTGATCTAACTTATTTACTTTTATTGGAGTTGGGAGATTTTTGTTGCCAGTCTTTACAGTTTGCTGTTGCATGTTTTTTTCCACACTGGACACACTGATGTTTGTGTTTACATTGGGAGTTTGAGCAAGCCCCTGTTTTACAGTAGGTCCAGCAGAATCCTGAGGGGAACTGATGTTGGGGTTGCTTGACCCGTTTTTGAAAGGGATGTTTTGAGAGTTGGGATTGTTTACCTGACCTGAATGTGCTTTGTATATTGGTGCCCTGCCCTATGTTTACATGATCGTAAAAAGCCGACCTCCAAAGGTCTTCATTTACAACTGCCCAATCGAACAACATCACTTTGCGCACCTTACGGAAATTTTCGTCATAAGCCCTTGCCATAGAAAACCCAAATTGCTTAGACATGCATCTTATATTGTGGGCATATTTGATAAGACCTAATGCTGATTCAGAATGCTTTGAAATGTACACTGACATGAAAATATCAAATGCTTCAGACCATTGGTGAATTGATACTAACTGTTTGTTTTTTGCATATGTTGAGATTTTGAAACCCTTTGACTTAAACAAAATTTCGTCTTCTTGATTTTCATTAAAGCTAGGAACCAGATTTGGTAACTCAATATAATTGTCCTCCCAAATGTCTTTCTTTAGTTTTTGCTCCACATTAAACCCAAGTGGAAGTGAATTTTTTAAAACGTATGAAGCATTGTTTGAAATGTTACTCATGGTACCTAAGACTGACGAGGCTCCGTTTACCGATGAGGGTTGGGAAGAGGTTGCATCATCAACTGTCATGTGTTCGGCTTGGCCCTGTGTCACTTGTCCATCTGTGGATTGGTTCCCCCTCAATTGAGTTAGTAGGGATGACAGCGTTGTGTCCTGGCTCCTGCTCAGATTGGAAATTAATGCCGTAGCAATTTCATTAGCGGTTGGAATTTTGGGGGCCTCTACAGCTGGGCTCTCAACAGTGGGTGCTTTGGCTCTACTGGCATTCCTCGCCCTTCTTCCAGGAGCCACTGGTTCTGACACTTTGGTTGAACTTGTTTTCTTCTGTTTGGGCATCTTGAATACTTCTGAGATGATTCTAAATAATCCGTAAGAATTGAAGATAAACTGGCATCGGGTAAATTGAATTCTTGTAAAATTTTAGGTGCGTCCAGCAGCTCTTAAAACAAAAAAGTGAATAATTGAGATACCTTTGACCAAGATAAGATTTCAGTATAGGTTACTTCAATCTGATTGGATAATTAGTTAATTGTATTAATCACGATGGCTATTGCATACACAGTGTCCCTGCCATGCCAGGTTGCAAATTCCATCTGCTGACGCATAATTATTCACCAGATGCCAATAATAAATGATACCCCCCACCTACATGTCTGGTGGCTAATTTAAAGATCTTAATCATTTAGGTTATCAATGATGAGTATATAATTATAACAACAGTATCTCATTACAAAATTGGCTGCCAAAAATGTTTTTATTTACAATAAAATAGGTTATTTTATTATTGAGTCAAATGCTGACTGCATATTCATATTTAAATTGTTAGTCCATTATTTACACACTGAAATGACGAAGGAATTTTTTTCCATTATTTTAACGTTTCCAATCATGACAAGGAGCATGCTGCAGGTGTGGCCGATCGTCATGGGGTGATTACTCCTCCATGACACCTGATCCCATGTTTCGAAGGTCCGTGTTTGCTCGGCTACTAATATTTGTTTCATGGATTTTGAAATTTCATTTTCTTTAGTTTTCATGTATTTTTTATTCAATTAATTTTTTTTCAGTGTTGATTTTGTTTTCATATTTCATGCGAAATATGAATTTTATGTATTTCAATTTTATGTACTTTTAAGATCGAACATTCTTCTTCTCAAAGAATATAATGTCAGATGATAACACGCAAGCCATTCATTGTTTAGTAAATACATTCTTTTTTAGCAAACAAGGTGAGGAATATTGCTGTGCTGGTTATATATGGAATGTGAAATCAAACAAGTGTGAGAGTAAGTATTTCTATCAAATTTGTTTCGTTTTAATAATTCCAGGATTTACCGATGCCGTTTCTTCCTGTTTAATCACTATGTCATTAAAGAATTACACAGTGTTATCTTTTAATTATCAGGTGGTATTGTAGTAACTTCGTACTAACGACAATTCACTATGCACAATGTTGTTAACGAAGAATCAATAAATAAGTAAGGTAAATAAAATGAATTACATGTAGCAGCAAATTCATATTTTGATTTGTAAGTTGAATTATTTTAAAGAATGTCCAACTGGATATGTTGGAAGTAACTGCCGATACAGATGTGTTTTTCCTTACTTTGGGGAAAAATGTCTTCAGATATGCAATTGTACCGAGGACAAATGCGATTTTATAGATGGATGCCAGGTTCCAAATTACCAATCAGGCAAATATATTTTTCTAGTTTTGATTTATCCAAGATAATGTTTTTCAATTGTTTAATTTGGTTTTACAAAAAAAGAGTTTGAGGGTTTTAATTTTGAATTAATAAAAAGATCTTGAATTTAAAGACAGGTAATACAAACATTTTTTTTTCTCTGGAGGATACTTAATATCATCTCAGAGGTTTAGAAAAGTTGATAATTCTGGAATATGACATAGACTTGCATGAGAAATATTTCTTAATACTTCAAAACAAATACAAATATGAATAAATCACACTCCGTAAAGGTTTACAAGTAATAACGAATGTCAGAAAATGTTAGCTTAGTGCTATGTGGCAACGCACTTTGAAAAAATTACGCACTTTGAAAAAATTTTTCAAAGTGCGTTGAAATTGGGACAAAATTAACGCACTTTGAAAAATTTTATCAAAGTGCGTTAAATTTGGGACCAACTCAACGCACTTTGAAAAAATTTTTCAAAGTGGGTTAAGAGTCTACATCAATATATTTTACCATGGAGACAAATAACGCACTTTGAAAAAAAAAATCATATTTTAGTCATGGAAAGATTTTATTTGTTATTTATCTTTCAAAAAACTAAGCCTAACTTCCCATAAATACCATTGTCAAATTTTACTTATCAGTTCGGAGGCCCGACGCATTACTGGCCACTTCCGTCTGTATTCCCCGCTTGTATTTCTTGAATGTTAAAATTGTTGTCCATCATTTAATTACATGCACTTATTAATAAACTCGGAAACCAGGTTACTCGTTACTTTGGACCTTTATATGTGTTATCGGGAAGAGTCCTTGGAATACGGCTCTACTACTTCCGGCCAACGACGCCACTCACTTCCCCTGCCAACATTCCCTCTTGTCCGATCAACGACACATCTTTTAGACCCAAACTACGTGGTTATACTAGAATTAAAAAAAAAGAAGAAACGAATTAATGAACTTAAACAATCGTCACTCTTTTTTTCAAGACCCTTTAATTTTCCCTTAATTTATTTTATCAAAACCTTCAATATTTAAAACGTCAATATCTCAGGTCCTACAGTGACTTTATCATTAAAAAGTTATCAAACCAGGATATGTTATTTATCATACCGATTATTTGTAGGAATATTGATCAATCTTTACATTTTTTTCAAAGTGCGTTAATATGGTCGATATTAACGCACTTTGAAAAAAAAAAAAACATTTTTTTCAAAGTGCGTTAGCTTGGTCCCAAATTTTAATGAACTTTGAAAAAAATTTTCAAAGTGCGTAATTTTTCAAAGTGCGTTGTAACAGTGATAAAAGTGTAAGATAAACTTTTTAAAAATACACCAAGCCAGGTGAACTGTATAGGAGGGAACGCAAAATGGTGAAATTCATAAAAATGACATTAGGCTGATTTTAACATTTTGTGTTTCTTTATAAAATTCATGGCTTGGTATACTATTTTCACGAGTAGATCTATAGCGCAAGCGTTTTGTGAAGATCATCGGATCGATGTTACACTTGTAGAAGCGTAAGAAACATTTTTCAGTGTAAATACTCGTAGAATTAAGACGTGGAGTGTTACTTTCATTTTTTTGTTTCTGCATTTTTTGGAAATTCTATGAAGCCATCAGACATGATTAAAAACCTACACATGCATAGTGTAGTTTTTTGAATTTTTCATCATAGTAGTGATTTTTTACAGTGATGTTTTATCTAAGTTATGTCAATAAATGAAATCAATAATGATTGGGTTTTTTTCTCTAATCAATACTTTTGTTATGAAAAAAATCTTTAAAAATTTCAGCAGATAATAATTGTCGTCTTCAATCCTCATTTATATCTATCAAGAATGTATTCTCAATTAACAATAATTACTGTTATGCATATTATCGAACCGAAATATTCAAATGAACTTAAAATAAAAGATTGTAATTCCAGCAGTTTATAGACCTGGTCTACAAGGACTTCATAAATTTTGTCAACAAGGAAATCCAGCACATTTTGATTCAACGTCGAAATACTTTTTTGTAGAATGTTAGATTTATAACTATTGTAATATGCATGGGGGGTTGGACTTTAGAATATTGCATATTAATTAATCACAGGCTGATGGTGGAGTGTTTGTAAGTGAAGTAAAGTAGCATCCAGTTGTAAATCTATAAGAAATGTTTTATTGTTGATGTTATTAAGGTCTTCCGTTTCCAACGGAAGACCTTCTACTGATTCTGTTGGTAAAGATTATTATTCTTTTTTTTTTTCTTCTACTTCCTAGACGCCAACTTTGATGCCTCATATCTCACTCATTTCTCAACGGATTTCGCTCAAATTTTCAGAGGTTATAGACGTTTATAAATTCTATCAGAATAATGACTAAAATTTCAAAAAGTCACTTCCGGTTTTGAGTTATGCCCCTTTAAACGAAAAATCATAGGCTTTCGTTTCCGGATAAAGGCTCAGAGACCACAAAAGCTGGAGCAGAAGTTTTACTTGTTTTAGATAACAGAAGGATTGAAGTTGTGCACATCGGTTTTTGTTTTTCGATTTCTGCATTCAAAATGGCGCTATATAGGGGTCAAAAATTAGAACACCTAAAATAGCGAAAATTTACAGATATTTTCCTTTTTATCTTGAAAACTAAAAATATTTTGTTAAGACATGTTGAATGAAAGTTGTGCATAATTACAAGCGTTTTCATTTGAAATCAGTAAAAAGGGGCTGGCCCTTAAAACTAGGGATCTAGGGTCCTTGAAAGATTTTGTTTAATATCTCAAAAAAGTATTGAGAATTTATAATACATCAAATAAGCAAAGTTGTTCAAAATGTCAAGCTTTATCTAATGAGGTTGTCAAAATACGTCCGGGGACGTCACTTCCGGTCAAACCGGAAGTAGTCAAAAATTGCATATTTTTGTTGTTCTTGACAGGTTTTTGGATATCATATGTCACTGAAAGCTTAAATCTTAATTTTCCGTCCGTTGACGGTACTTCCGGTCAAACCGGAAGTTGCCAAAAATGGCTTGATTTTGCAAAAATGAACATAGATTGCGAGGATTAAGCCATTTTTCGACTTCATTATTTTTTTTTTCAAATGAAAGTAACTTCCGGTCAAACATGACGGAAGACCTACTCGTTGCTTTGTAACGAGCTCGGCTCTAGTTTCATTATCTTATTGTTTACTTGAATTATTGATGCAATACACATTGCACTTCGACATTGTATTAATGTAAACAAATGCTGTTTTTGTGTTACATGTACTAGACGATCTAGCGAGATATTGTTGAACAGACAGTAAGGGACAGTGATACTGAGATGTTGTATGTCAGTTTTTCATCATTATCTACCATGTTACGACTGTAATTTACTTACTTATTTCAGCATTATCACATGTGTTGTAAATTGGGCGCTTGCCATCTTTCTTACGAAGAAAATAGTCATGTGACATAAACATTGTTGTTTTACAATTGATAAGATCGAAATAACACTGTCCGTGTCCTCAAATATTCATAATTGATACTTAAATGTTATTTTATTGCAGTATTGTCATTTAATTATGCTGCATTTGACGAAATGTTTTGGAACTTGAATGTGTAGCGTAATACTTATGTGTTTGCATTATTGTTCGGTATTACTACGCCATGGATTGTGTGTGTCCGTTTTATTACAGATTGTTTGTTGAACTTGTTTTCTAATGTATATCGAATAGAATTTATAGCTCCCACTTTACATGTAGAAAGGACATTTTGAGCGATGTTATTTTCTTTGTATTACACAAAATGTATGTAAAGTAGTTCCGAGTTGCTCCAGAAAGGACAATTATTCATTGGTTGTTGTGATCACGTGACCATTTATGGAAGGTTATATATATGAGCAGCGAACGCCAGTTTCATCACGACGATCGTAACGAT